GATATACCACAAGATTTTTTTCCTTTGAACTCAGCCTCAGAGTTGTTTTCCACACAGTTCTCTAGGAAGCCACTCCCAATTGGTTGGAGTTGGGAGTTGAAATAATGGGGTTGGGGATTCTTCCTGGTTTACAGTTTTGGTGTTAGTATGATCTGATTGCAAGGAACAGGGCACCTTAAGAAACACAGGATTTTTAAAGGATTCACATGGGTTAAAGTTGTTTAGGATCCAAGTCAAGTCAGGGACTGGATTCTCTCCCTACAGCCCACCTGTTCTACCTTCTATAGCATATCTGTTGTGTCTGTGTTTTTGTTCCTCATTTTCCACTTCACTCCCAACTGGCCAGTCCTCCCTGTATTCCACAGCCTAAATGCTTCAGAGAAGTAGTTTAACATGCTTAATCAATACCATTGTGTCTGTTACTAAGCACAGCTTTGGTGCTAGATCTTTCCATGGGTCATGGATAGGCAGCCCTTGCATAGACAGCCCATAGACACTGGCAATGTTTTCTTTCTTTCTTTTAGTGGTAGTTATCCAAGTATGTTCACTTCATGAAAATTCAGAATTCAACACATACTTATTATGTGCAGCTGTCTTTGTTACACTTTAATGAAAGTTTATTTTTTAAAAAAGGGCCAAACTGATCTCATTTTCTTTTTTGAAGGCTTTATAAAATTAGTACATCAGGAGACTGTCATAGATATTGTATACCTTGAGTTTATTTTATTTATTTTAATTTTTAAAAATATTTTATTTATTTATTTATGAGAGAGAGAGAGGGATAAGCAGACTTCACGGAGCATGGAGCCCCAAAAAGACCCTACACAGAGCCTGCGACGTGTGTGGGGGGGTGGCTCATGTGGCTCAATCCCGTGACTCTGAGATCACCACGCCAGAGGAAATCAAGAGTCACTCAACTGACTGAGCCACCCAGTCTCCCCTGTATATCTTGATTTTAAAGGAGATATCTTTAAAAGTCTCTTAAAGACGTTTATATAAGCAATTCAGAGGGATGTGGCCTCGGTAACAGAAGAGTTATATGAGTTCTTAACTAGGGGAGCAGCATACCCAAAAATTGATGAGCAACCTGAAGATAGGTTTCTATCATAAGAAAGGCTCTGTTTAGTATAAAGAGGAAATTCAGGGTAGTGGCTAAACATGTGGGATCAAAGGCTGGGTTCTTCTGCTTAACAACTGTGTGGCCTTGGGCAACTTTCTCTTTTGTGCTTCAGTCTTCCTATCTATAAATGGGAGTGATAAAATCTATATCTTAAGGTTGTTAGGAGTACTGAGGGTATATAAATAAAGTGTTTAGAATACTAGAGTACTAATACATGGGTAGACTTTATAGAGAGGCAGAGTACTTTATAATTAAACCACCAAATAAAAGAGCAAGATAAGTTCCTATTAGAAGAAATGTTCCTAAAGTGGTCAGATGAACATCTGTCAGGGATGCTTTAGAGAGGTCTCTGCCTTTGATGAAAAGGTTGGGTTAGATGATCTTTTAAGATTTAGGATTCTCTGATATCCCAATTATGCCACAAATGTTTGAAGTTGTAATTCTGCTTATGGAGTAATCTATAGAAAATTTGATTTTATTACATTATAAAGCCATAAGTACTTTTTTGCAACTTCTAGAGCTCTCAGATTAAAGCCAAAGGAAACCAAACCAAACATACAAAACATAATGACTTGGGAAGATTTTTGATATGTTAATTCACACTGTTAAATAACAAAGTAACAGAGATCTGGAAATGTAATATTACCTATAGAAATGTGATCCGAAAAAGCCAAAAGAAAATGACTCCTAGAGCTCCTTGTTGCAACGTCATCTCAAGAGAACATAGAGAAAAATTCTAAAAAAGAAGGTCATTGCATTAATTTCATTTTCATTTCAAGGTTAAATGATTCCATGAACACAGAACTACTCGAACTATATACAGAAATACGAAGTTTTCAATATTGGTCAAATATAAAGTCTACAAGTGGCTTAATAAAGTGCACAAATTCACAAAATTCTATTATCTTTATTAAAAGTATTTGTATTTCTTTTTTTTTTTTTTAAAGATTTTATTAATTTATTTGACAGAGAGAGACACAGCGAGAGAGGGAACACAAGCAGGGGGAGTGGGAGAGGGAGAAGCAGGCTTCCCGCAGAGCAGAGAGCCCGATGCGGGGCTCGATCCCAGGACCCTGGGATCATGACCTGAGCCGAAGGCAGACGCTTAACGACTGAGCCACCCAGGTGCCCCAAAAGTATTTGTATTTCTAGTTACATTTTTTTCCTAGTTATAATCTTAAGCATTAAGTATTTAAAAAATATATAGTACTTGTACATAAAAAAAGTACAGACATCTTAAGTATACAATTTGAATTCTAATAAACTAACCATACCCATGTAATAAGCACCTAGATTTTTAAAAAACTGAACATTAACACTGTTTTTAAAATTAATTTTTCTTAACTTTTAAGAGAAAAAAATTGGTGTTCTTTTCTGGATATTTGGTGGTATGGCATGTAACTTTATTGTTTTTTTAAAGATTTTATTTTAAAGTTAAGTAATCTCTACACCCAGTGTGGGGCTCCAGCTCACAACCCCGAGATCAAGAGTCACAAGCTCCATCAACTGAGCCAGCCAGGCACCCCTAGCATGTAACTTTAAAAGCAATATAACCATCTTGAACATTTCCTGGGAGTTTTGATACCACTTGTAGTAGGCAAAATAGCTCCCCAGAGAGAGCCATGTCTTAATCCCTAGAACTTGTGAATGTTTACTTATATAGCAAAAGAGACTTTGTAGATGTGATTAAACTAAGGATTTTGAGATGGGAAGTTTATCCTGGACTAAGTGGACCCAATGTAATCACAAGGGTCTTTTTAAGTGAAAGAGGAGAAGAGTCACAAGAGATGTGACAAGGACAGCAGAGGTCAGAGGAGCCACAAGCAAAGGAATGAGGGTAGCCTGTAGCCAAGGGAAGGCAGACCCAATGATACCTTAAAAAAAAAAAACCAAACTGACATATATTTGACATAAAACATTGTATGTTAGTTTCAAGTGTACAACATTATTATTATTATTTTTTAAAGATTTTATTTATTTATTTGACAGAGAGAGACACAGTGAGAGAGGGAACACAAGCAGGGAGAGTGGGTGAGGGAGAAGCAGACTTCCTGCCAAGCAGGGAGCCCGATGTGGGGCTCGATCCCAGGACCCTGGGATCATGACCTGAGCCGAAGGCAGACGCTTAACGACTGAGCCACCCAGGCACCCCAACTGTACAACATTATTTGATATATGTATATATTGTGAAGTGATCACCATTATGTTTAGCTAACATCCATCACCACACAGTTACAATTTTCTTTTCTTATGATGATACTGACATTGTTACTTTGATTTCAGCGGGGTGAAACCCATTTCAGACTCCTGGCCTCCAGAACTGTAAGATAATACATTTGTTTTTAGCCACTAGGTTTGAGGTAATTTGTTATAGCAGCCATAGAAAACTAATACAGTCTCTTGTGAATCTGTGTCCAGGTTCATATATCTTATTGTTCACTTAATAGCTTTATATAGCTACTTCATAGGCATCTCAAACATATCCCAAATTAAAACTTTATTTTTAACTCCCCAAACCTGGTCACTCCCTCAGCTTTTCTCTCATCTTGGTAAATGGCACCAGTCGCCCAATTACTAATGCCAGACACCTGGACGTCATCCTTGTTTCCTTCCTTTTCTGTCAGTCCCTCATACCTAATCCGTAATTTTCAAATCTGTGTCCAAACTCAATCTCCTATCATCCATTTGAGTTCCACTGCCACCATTTTTTTTTACAATTAATTTTATTCTCTTTAATATGGAATATGTGCATGTACTACAAAATACAAACGATATTATAAATCGGTATTCAGTGGAAAAGTCCATCTCCTTCCAGCCCTGTCAATCAGTGGGACCAGTTTTTTATGTATGCTTGCAGACTTTTTTTTTTCATTGCCACCATTCTTTCAGTGCCAATCCATTCTCCACATACTAGCCCAAGTAATATTTTAAAAAATCTGTTAGCACTTCCTTACACAAATCCTCTTAAAGTCTGTCCTTTTGTGGCTAATAATGACCTTTTAGTAGCTCCAAGCTAGTTGCAGGGGAACTGCTTGTTCATAAGCACTCTGCAAATTACAGCTTCATCATTAATTAAAATACATGAAACGCAAAAGTTTTATTGGATTTGAAATGCAAAAGTTTTATTGGATTTGAAACGCTGGATGAGTTGTTAAATAGTTTCACCTGTGGTAAATTATTTAATGGTTGTAAAAAATGTTTTAATGTTTTGTAACACCAGCTCATTCGAAGTTTGTCACTGGTGACTCGGTGATTTGAAAAGATCATTGAAAAGTCTTTATCAGGCGCCGTGGGAGCCCTCTTCCGCCACCTTTTCTGCGGCTGCCAAGTTCCCCTTTGGACATCCTCGGGCCCGGACTGGTGGGAGGTTCCCTAAAGGGGAGACCTAGGTGGAGCGCCTTATGATCAGCTGCTATCTGCCTTGTTTGGATCATTATCAACACTCCATCAGTCTTCCAGCAGACATGGTCCTGGAGTGGCGAGGCTTTATCTCAAGAGATGGCTCTGGGGCGGACCGGCTGCGCGACAGTATTGTTTTGGTGAGGGCCTACGAAATGCCTGAGGGAACAGAAGGCGTAATTCTCCCTTGGGTGCAAGGCCAAAACAACTACCACGTGCGAGGACCCGGGTTCCCCAGCGTGCGTGCGGCAGCGGAGGAAAACGCGTCGGGGCGGTGAGCACACACTTGCCGGCCCGCCACGACAACGGAAGACACTCCGCCCTCCTCACCCGGCCCCTTCCAGAAACCGTTCGGCAAGAGGGTGGGGCCCGGGCGGGCGCAGCCAATCACAGGGTCGCTCTCAGGTTACGTAAGGGCGCGTTCGCCGATTCGGTGCTGGGGGTAGGCGTGCTGGGGCGTGCGGGGCTGGGGTCGAGACAAGAGTCCTCTACGCGCGTGGCCGACTTGCGGAAGCTGCGGGGGCGGACTTGCGCGGGCCCGCCTTCTGGTGCTGCGTTCAGCTCTCGCTCGCGAGGCGCGGCGGCGGCGTGGGAGGGAGCTGCGCGCCAGTGTCTGGTGAGAGCCCCGCGTCGGCCGGGACTCGGGACGGGCGGGGGAGAGCATCCTCCGGGCCCCCACGGCCTCCTTCTTTGACCCCTGCCTCGTGGCCTCCGCGGTCTGGCGGAGGCCTCGGACCTCCGCGTGTCCCCAGGCCCGCACAAGACCCGGGCCTCGCCTTGTCTTCCGCAGGCCTACGTGCCAGGGCCCCTCTGTATTCCCGTCACGGGCTCCGTCTTGTGGCCCATGGAGCAGACAGGTTCATTGCGGGCCCAGGGCGAGTAGCCGGCGGCCCGGAATGACTCCAACCCAGGGGCAGTGCTGTCCGGTAAGGAAGCAGGCTGTTCCTGGGAGATAGTGAGGGTTCTGTTACGGAGGTGCGCAAAGGAAGGCGGCGAGCTCCTTGACAGACAAGTTGCCCTGGGGTGTAAAGGGTTGAACTGAAAGATGATACTGAAGATCTGCGCCCAAGCCTGACTACGTTCTGAGTCTGGGCTTCCTTAGAAGTTTGATAGGCGTTTATCTTTTCGCCCAAATCTGAGCACACCCGTTAAATTGTTAGAGCACGATAAAGTATTGTCTTCTCTGAAAGAGAGGAGGGGTGCAGTTTAGCATCTGTAGAGGCTCTGGAAGAAGCCAAAGGAAATTACAGCTCAGGAATAGGTTTGTGAATTTCAGGCCGTTTTTATATAGCCCCTTCTTAATCCTGAGTCTCATCCCCGCTGCGCGGAGGGAAGAGTGATCGGTCATGTTCTTTTCATTGCTATGGGGCCTGGCAGGAGCTGGCACAAAGGTCCGTGGATGTTAATGATCGGATATTAGGCAAACACTGGATGTGGCAGTATCCTGCGTTCTGGGTTTGATTTTTGGTTCTGGCAATTATTAAATGTGATTTGGGGCAAGTAAATTATTTTGGCTGTACCTCAGTGTCCCCCTCTGTAAAATGGGGCTAGTGAGAGGGCTGTCAGGATGAGATGGTTAATGCTTATGAAGCTCTTAACACAGTGCGTAGCACCTCAGAAATACCTCTCAAATGTTTGCTGTTAGGGTTTCCCTGCTCAGTGATTGCTTGAGCCAAATGTTTGTGAGTCTTTTTCCACAGTGGAGTGGAATATTATTCTGGAAAGTGTTGAATACCTTTTGTCAGAATTCAAAATGGTCAGTCTTGAGAGAATGCAGAAAGTGGTCTTTAAGAATTGGGTTTCTCAGAGATTGCCAGTGAATTCAAGATGAAAGCATACTTCTCTGGCATTTATCTGTATTTTAGTTACAATTTTGGAATTGATAGGTGAAATGGGGGCAAATATCCAATTCCTCCTGACTTTCTGAGCTTTAGGCTTGAGGGGACTATGGACAACATACCTACTTCATAATACCTGTTTAAAAGAGTTCTTGTTTTTAAGAATGAAAATTTCAAATGTGCTTAAAAGGACAGAAGACAGTATGACACCTTGTACCAGTCACCAAGATTTAACATATTAATAGGTTACCATGTTTGTTTCACATTTCTGCTTATGGTATGATTTTTTATTTTTTTATTTATTTATTTTTCTAAAGATTTTATTTATTTATTTGACAGAGAGAGAGAGAGCGAGAGCAGGAACACAAGCAGGGGGAGTGGGAGAGGGAGAAGCAGGCTTCCCGCCGAGCAGGGAGCCCGATGTGGGACTCGATCCCAGGACCCTGGGATCATGACCTGAGCCGAAGGCAGACGCTTAACGACTGAGCCACCCAGGCGCCCCTATGGTATGATTTTTTTAAAAAATAAATGTTAGCTAAAGCCTGAAAAGCCCCATTTTTCTTTTCCTTCCCTCCCTCTCCAGAGGTAACTGCTTTCCTGAGTTGGCGTGGAACTTTAGATCAATAAACAACATACAGTAATGTTTTATAAATTTAAAAAAACTTACAAAAAATGGTACCCTATTGTAACTAACTTTTTAGAATTTGCTGTTTTCCTCTAATGTTCTGTTTCTGAGATTTATTAATATAGACAAATACAGACATAGTCCATACATTTTAATTGCTGTCTGGTATTCCATCATGTAAAGAATCGAGTTTTATATTGTTTGCTTTACATTGTACTTTATGCAACTTAAATTTGTCCTATTACAGTTTAAGTCCATTTTGCCACTCATTATTTTGCCATTTATTCATTCTATACTGGTCATGGGGACTCTGATCATAGTTCTCAGTATAAAAATGTATCTTTGGGTATGACCTCTTATCCAGAGCAAATAGTAATGTATACTGGGCTGAGAAAAAAATTTACTAATTTTGTTTCCGGGGATTCTATTTGGAAAAGTGAATTAGTTAAGATCTTTTATGTGGCCTGGTGTCAGGTACTAGGTTTAAGGTTTCTAAAAATTAGAGACAGGGTCTTTCTCAGTTCTGTGTCTCAGCTTTCTTTATAGTGCTCTGCACAGAGTAGATACTAAATGTTCGTGACATTGATTATTTTTACTTCTGGGTCTCTCATAACCCTTCATATGTTTAAAGAGATGGCCAGCAATTTTCAAAACTTTGCACTTTTAGTTTTGATATTTCCAGTGACTTTAGACTTTGCCATTTTCCCATTCAATTCAGAAACATAATTAAAAGCATTTTGAAAAGCAAGGTATGCAACATCAGTTTGTAGAATGTTATCAGTTGTATAATATATGCTGTATGTATTTATAAGCAAATACATCTGTATTTACATATGCATGGTTTACCTATAAAAGTATAGATGAGAAACTAGTAACTCATAGCTTCCAGGGAGAAGTATGTGGCTGGGGAACACAGATGAGAAGACTGTTTGCTATATAGCCTCTTATGATTTCTCAGTTTTAAACCATGCGAAAGTACTCCCTAAGAAAAAGTTAAAATTATTTTAAAAAACCCCAAACTTCTCTCCTTAAAGAGGCATTTTACCATATTTTAAAGACTTAAGTTCTTTCCTGAAAAAAACTTTGGTCTTAGTAACATTTTTGCCTTTTCATAGTTGGTTTATTTGGCTAGCTTACTCTGTTTTGGTAGAATAACCTTTGAGTTACTTGGTAAATACTAAACATTTTAGTATTGCGAGGCAGAGTTTATGTTCTTTTAAAATAAAAACAAATTGACCAACCGTGAATGATTTGCCTCACCCAGCAAGTTGAATATCACCAACAATTTATTCAGCTCAAATTTAATGATCAGTGAAGGAAGGATTATTTATAAGAACATTTAAGACAACCATTTTTGGAAAAATATTTTTGTCTTTAATGATTAGGGAGTGCTTAGATCTAATGAATACAACTCTCTTGACAGAATGCCTATATCATTATATCATAAATGCTTTCTGTTGGGTGGAATTAGCTTTTACTGGAGATTGTTGAGTTCAGAATGGGCCTAATGATGGGGCAGTTTGTGTACTCACAGAAGTTTGAGCCTAATAGAGATGAGATGGCAGCCGATGAGATTTCCAGTGGGTTTTAGAGTTTACACTGATCTAACGGGCAGCTCCCCTTCTCCTGGCATCCTTACTCAAGCTTCTTTGTATTCCTGATTGCAAACTCTAAATATTGACACACTTCCTGAAGCAAAAGCATTGAATCTGTGAGGTGGAATTTTACATTGATATAGAGAAGTTTAAATGCTCCATAAAACATCTCTTATCCCTTGCCCCTGATTTTTACTTTGAATGGAGGGTATAGATGGCAGGAGGGAGGGCGGGCGTGGGCAGAGAAGTTGAGCAAAAGTATATATGTGTTTGGTAGGGCCATAGTGCTCAGAGGAAGGCAGCAGCTAAAAGGGGTGAGGTGAAGAGGAACTGAAGTTTAGGTAGAGGTTTTAACAAAGCGGCAACACTTAGACTGAGTTTTGAAGATGAGGAGCCCAGGCCAGAGGGAAAGGAAGTTTTACCTAGAGGTGCATACGTCTAGAGAGGCACAGAGATTTGGAGACTCACTGGTTGAACGCAGGTACTTGGTATGGCTTTGGCACAGAGTAAGGGTAATTGTAGGTCAAGGAGAAGTGGTTGGAAAGATGGGATAGGTCCAGATCAGATTTGGACTTTATTCATAGGTTGTGTATTCTGTTGAGCATGATAATCAAATTTGTGAACTTTGGAAAGATCACTCTGAAAGTCTGTGGGAGGCAGGGCAAGACTAGAGATAGGCAAACTACTTTGGCAGTTGTTAACAATGGTTCAGACCTAAAATGAGAGGTTAGACTAGGGGGTGTCCAGGTAGGGATAAAGAGGAGGAGCTAGATTTGAAAGATATTCAGGAGGTGGAGGGGCGCCTGGGTGGCTCAGTCAGTTAAGCGTCTGACTCCATCTCAGCTCTGGTCTTGATCTCAGGGTTGTGAGTTCAAGCCCTGCATTGGGCTCCACGCTGGGCATGGAACCTACTTAAAAAAAAAATTCAGGAGGTGGAATTGACAGGGTTTAGGAGGTACAGAGTAAGGGACGGAGAAGACAAGGATGTTAAGGGTCAAGGCATTTGGATGAATGGAAGTTCATAACTGAGTTAGAGAACAAGGAAGGAGGAACAGAAATGAGGAAAAAAATAAGTTCGGTTTGGGCCATTGACTTTAAGGTGTGTATGAGTCAGGAGATACCTGGTAGGCATTTGGAATTGTCCGAAGTTTGTAGGCAATGGCTATAGGGACTAATGAGGCCTTGAAGGTAGGGTTTTTTATTTTTTCTCTTCCTCAACACTAATCACGGTGCTTTGTATATAGTGGGTATTTAGTGTGAGGGTGAATAGATCTTATCCCTTATAAGATGTGATCTTGAATCTTGGGGAAGTAATTTCCTCTCTCAAGACCTGTGTTTCCCTTTCTGTAAGAGAGGGAGTTGAACTAGATCAGTTGTTTTCAGTAGTCTGGTATGTTGGGATCAGTAGTGAGGTATGGTGAGTAATTTCTAACTAATAAAGAGCTGATGTTTGCTTGCCTTTTAAATGGGAGCTGATCTATGTCACTGTTTCTTAATTGCATTCCAGTGTGTTTTCTTAAGTGTGAGAGAAAGGGGTGGAATTAGTTGGCAGGAATTTCCTAGCTCTGGATATACCAGTGGGTGTGTCACATAGCAGCAGGGGTGGAAAAAAAGGTTAAGAAGCACTGTATTAAATGGTGGTTAAAAGGCTTAGAACTAGGGGCGCCTACGTGGCTCAGTTGTTAAGCATCTGCCTTCGGCCTAGGTCATGATCCCAGGGTCCTCGGATCGCATTGCGCTCCCTGCTCTGCAGGGAGCCTGCTTCCCCCTCTCCCACTCCTCCTGCTTGTATTCCCTCTCTCGCAGTGTCTCTCTCTGTCAAATAAATAAAATCTTAAAAAAAAAAAAAGGCTTTAGAAAATTCTGTGTTTATGTCTACGATGTATCATTCTGTTGATAAATAATTTTTATTTTTGCAACTTTAGGAACTCTATTTTAATAACCTCTCAAAACAAAAGAAACAAGTCATGGAGAAGAATGGGAATAACAGAAAGCTTCGGGTTTGCGTTGCTACTTGCAACCGTGCTGATTATTCTAAACTTGCCCCGATCATGTTTGGCATTAAAATGGAACCTGAGTTCTTTGAACTTGATGTGGTGGTACTTGGCTCTCACCTGATAGATGACTACGGGTAAGATGAAAGCATTTTCTTACGATATTCTTCATTGCAACATGGTGTACTAGAGAGAGCTTGGATCTTGTGGCCATGTGGACCTATCTTCAAATCCCGGTTCTCCCTCTTAGTTTTTATATGGCCTTGGAGAAGTTGCATCTTCAGGTTCCTCAGTTATAAAATGGAGTGAAAACCTATGGTGTAGGTTACTGTGAAGAATGGAGGCAGTGATAGAAAGTGGCCATCGCAGTGTAGCTGCTTAATAGGTGCTTGATAAATGATAGCTATAAATATTTTTATTATTACTTGTTACATTCAGGAGAAATGCCACTTATAAATATATGTTGTGTGACTCTAATAATGTAACTTCCTGTAATATGTTTTGTGAGTTCTAATGGTACTACTTTCTTAAAACTCGTGTATAGATTGACAGCATACAAAGTAGTAGATATGAAACAAGATTTTAAAAATCTAATTTACAAGATAAATTTGTTATATTGCCATTGGTATTTATTTTGGTGTTTGTCATTAGGTTTGTTATTGGTCACAGTCTAAATTTGAAAAATGAAAGTTGGGAAATCTTTGAGGGAACAGAATGTTTAAACCAAAAATGAACATTCATTTTGTTCTGGGTAATAAAGTGGCATTTAGTGCACTCTTGTGGCATAAAAACATAATGCAGCTTCCAAAGATGGTCAGTAATACCATATTATATATGAAAGAAGCTTGTGTTAAAGTAAAATTGCCTTTTCAGACTATTCTGTAAAAGCAAGGCAATAACAACAACAAAAGCAAACAAAAACCTGCCTCTAAAAACCAGTTTTCTCTAAGAAAATACTTAAAGGGTAGAGGAGAAACTGATGCATAGCTCAAAAATCCATAGGTTTTAAAAATATGAAATGAATTCTGGCTATCTAAGAAAATCCACTGGGTTTTCTTACATAGGACAAAGTAGAAGGAAAATTTTAGCTAGAGCCTGAAATGAAATGTAAGTGTGTTCTTTTACTTCTTTGAGAAAAGTTTGATGGGGAGATTAGTAGGACAGAGGCTCTCAAGGAAATTGTGTTGCGTTTTCCTGTCTGCCATAGTAAGTAAGAGTGGAAAGGCAGTATTTGTCTCGTGAGACTGTTAAATAGGACTCTTGACTGGTACTTAACGGAAAAGTCATGTAAAGTACATTCTAACATAAGTTGGTTGCTACTGGGAGAGGAACTGGATGACTGGGAGACAAAAGTGAGAGGGTAGCCTTTTCACTAGAGAACCTTTTGTATCTTAAATTTTAAATCATGTGCATGTATTATCTGTATTTCAAACACATTAAAACAAAAAAATAAGCTACCCTCTATTTCAACTACTTGTATACTTAAAAAAAAAAACCCAGCATTTTTATACTCTTTAAGAACTGGGTGAAAAAGGAAATCAAATAAGTAACAACAGACTAGTTAGAAATTCATTTGTTCATTTATTTCATGTGAGTACGTGATACAAAATATTAAAACATTTTAGAGTAATTTTAGGTCTACAGCAAATTTGAGCAGAAGGTACCGGCGTTACCCTGTATACCTCTCTGCCTCCACACATGCCTAGTATCCCCCATTATCAGTGTTAGCCCTCCACCTCCAGGAGTACATTTCTTTACATTACATTTTGAGAGAGAGAGCATGCGCGTGCACGCAAATGTGGGGAGGGAGGCAGAGGGAATCCTAAGCAGGCTCCACACGCAACGTGGAGCCCAATGTGGAGCTTGATCTCATGACCCCAAGATTATACCTGAGCTGAAATCAAGAGTCCAATGCTTAACCGACTGAGCCACCCAGGCACCCACCCAGGTGGTGTAAATTCTGTATGTTTGGACAAATGTATAATGACTCGTATCTACCATTATAGTGTCAGAATTGTTTCACTGCCCTAAAAATGTGTTCTATAACTATCTCCATAGATTTTACCATCTCTGTAGATTTGCCTTTTCCAGAATGTCATGTAGTTGGAATCATATAGTATGTAGCCACTTCAGATTGGTTTCTTTCACTTAGTAATATGCATTTAAGTCTCCATGTTTCCATGTATTTCCATGGCTTGATAGTCCTTTTATTTTATTTTATTTTTTAAATTATTTATTTGAGAGAGAGTGGGAGAGAGAGAGAACAAGAGCAAGGGGAAGGAGCAGAGGGAGAGGCAGACTCTCTGCTGAGCAGGGGGTCCGATGCGGGACTCAATCCCAGGACCCTGGGATCATGACCCGAGCTGAAGGTAGATGATTAACCGACTGCACCCAGGCGCCCTTGATAGTCCTTTTTAGCACTGAATAGTCCATTTTCTGGATTTACCATAGTTTACTTATTCATTCATCTACTTGGGTATCTTAGTTACTTCCAAGTTTAGGCATTTATGAATAAAGCTGCTGCAAATATCCGTTTTTCAGTTTTGTGTGGACATAAGTTTTTTAGCTCCTTTGGGAAATACCAAGGAACCTGATTGCTGGCTTGTGTGGTAAGAATATCTTCAGTTTTATAAGAAACCACTGAGCTGTCTTCCAAAGTGGCTGTATCATTTTGTATTCAGGCCATCAATGAGTGAGTGTACCTGTTGCTCCACTGTGCTTGTCAGCATTTGGTGATATCAGTGTTCTGCTTTTGGCCATTCTGATAGGTGTGTAGCAGTATCTGTTTTAATTTGCATTTTCATGATGACATATGATGTGGAGCATCTTTTCATATGCTTATCTGCCAATTTTACATTATCTTTTGTGAGGTGTCTGTTAAGGTCTTTAAGGTCTTTAGTTCATTTTTAAGTCAGATTGTTTAAAAAAAATTTTTTTTAATAAAATACAAAAAGGGGTGCCTGGGTGGCTCAATTAAGCGTCTGACTCTTAATTTTGGATTAGGTCATGATCTCAGGGTCATGAGATCGAGTCCCATGTCAGGGTCTGTGCTGGGCGTGGAGTCTGCTTGAGATTCTCCCTCTCCCTCTACAGCCCCCCCCCCATCGTGCACAAGCAGGTGTGCACTCACTCTTTAAAAAAAAAAAAAGTTGTTTTACTGTTGAGGTCTAAGCCCATGGACCAAACAAATTCTAAGGGAAATTAGAAAAATCTTTTGAACTGAATAATAAATATTATAGTATATCAAAATTTGTGGGTATAGATGAAGGAATGCTTGGAGGAAAAAATACTTCGGGTGAAAAGGAGTTTAGAGGGGCTCCTGGGTGGCTCAGATGGTTAAGCATCTGCCTTCGGCTCAGGTCATGATCCCAGGGTCCTGGGATTGAGCCCCGCATCGGGCTTCCTGCTCAGCGGCGAGTCTGCTTCTCCCTCTTCCTCTATCTACTGCTCCCCCTGCTTGTAATCTCTCACCCTTTCTGTCAAACAAATAAATAAAATCTTTAAAAAAAAAAAAAAAGGAGTTTAGAGAGGCACCTGGGTGGGTCAGTCGGTTAAGTGTTTGGCATTTGAGGTTGTCCTTGGGCTCAGGCAGCCCCACATCAGGCTTTCTGCTCAATGGAGCCTGCTTCTCCCTCTCTCTCTCTGCCCACTGCTCCCCCTGCTTGTGCTCACACTCTCTCTGTCAAATAAATAAATAAAATCTTAAGAAAGTTTAGTTAGTGGTCTGTTTTCACTTTATTAAGCAAGAACAGGATGAGAAAACCCCTAAGTAAATAGAAGGTAGGAAACGATGAAGAGTGGAAATCAATGACACACAAGTAGATTAAGCAAGAGAATTATACTTAAAAATATTAAGTTGACAAATTCCTAACAGAGCCTAAGAAAAAGGGAACACCGATTACCAATACAAGATGGCAAAGAAGATATCACTACTGATCTGATAGCCATTAAAAGAATAAAAGAATATTAGGCCAACAAAGTTGGCAATCAATTTATATAAACTGGAGAAAATCCTTGAAAAAACACTGCTTACCAAAATAACACAGAAGAAATAGAAAATATCTATAGCCCTGTATCAAAGAAATTGAATTCATTATCAAACACTTCCTATAAAAATTTCCCGTAAAAGCGATGTTGTCATTTATGAGTTCTATCAAACATTTAAGCAAGAAATAACATCAATCTTCTTAAGTTTTTAAGTTTAATTCTTGTACAGTTAAAATACAGGATCATATTAGTTTCACAATATAGTGATTCAACAATTCTTTACTCAGAGCTTGTTATAAGTATACTCTTTACTCCCCATGACCTATTCCCACCCCCCTTAACCATCAGTTTGTTTTTTACAGTTAAGAGTCTGCTTCTTGGGGTGCCTGGGTGGCACAGTTGGTTAAGCTTCTCACTCTTGGATTTGGCTCAGATTGTGATCTCAGGGTCATGAGGTCGAGTCCTACGTCGGGCTCCACACTCAGTGCAGAGTTGAGTTTCTCTCTCCCTCTCCTGCTACCCCTCCCCCAATTCTCTCTCATCTCTCTCTCTAAAATAAATCTTTAAAAAAAAAAGTATGCTTCTTGGTTTGTCTCTTTTTTTCCCTTTGTCTGGAAATAACACCAATCTTACATAGACTCTTAGAAAATAGAGGAGCAGGGAATTTTCCCAGATTGTTATATGAAGTCAGCATAATCTTGGGGTGCCTGGGTGGCTCAGTCGGTTAAGCATCTGCCTTTGGCTCAGGTCATGGTCCCAGGGTCCTGGGATCAAGCCCCACGATGGGCTCTCTGTTCAGCAGGGAGTCTGCTTCTCCCTCTACCCCTCCCCCGACATGTGCTCGCTCTTGCTCTCAAAATCTTAAAAAAAAAGTCAGCATAATCTTGATAATAAAACCTGACAAAGACATTGTAAGAAAAAAAATTCAGACTGGTATCCCTTATGAACATAGACATAAAATAAAAAAAAATTAAATCACATCCAGCAATATAAAAAACAGATAATACATCATAACCAAGTGGGTTGATCTCAGGAAAATCAAGATAGATATAACATTTGAAAATCAGTGTTACTCACATATTAACAGAATATAGGGGAAGCACATATGATCATCTCAACAGATGTCAAAAAAGCATTTGACAAAATTAAATCAGTTATGATTAAAAAAAACCCCAACTCTTAGCAGACTTTGGAATAGAAGGGAAATTCCACAATCTGATAAAGGCCATTGGTGGGAAAACCTATAGCTAACATAAAAGTAAGCTTTCCCCCTGAGGTAGAGAACAAGGTAAGGATTTTTGCTTTCACCACTTCAACTTGTGCTGGACATAACAGTCAGTGTGATAAAGTGAGAAATAGACAAAAAGACATAAAGATTGTCTTTGTTTAGAGACAACATGATAGTTTTATAGGAAAATTCCAGGGAATCTATAAGATGACTACTAGAACATCCACATGATGTAAAATGATGTATGTAAAGAATCTTTCATGATCTGGGAAAATATTGTATGAAATGGATTAAATAGATTATACAATTGTGTTCTCAACCATGTTAAAATGTACATAAAGTGGCTAGGAAAAAATGATTTACACTGGTATTGCTGAGTGGTAGGTTTAGGGACGATAATTTTATATTTTCCAATTAAAAATATAAAAATATAGAGTTACATTATATATGTTCTAAATATATATATATATTTAGGGGAAAAATCCGTATCTTTTAAAATCTATTCATAATAGGAAACCTTGAGGCATTGAGAATTGCTGCTGTTATTGAAGCATGAAACAGACTTGAAATTGTGTTTCATAGCCAAATTTTTTTAATTACAAAAAAATTATGTGAGAGCGAGTGCAGGGGGAGGGGCAGAGAGAGAGGGAGCAGACTCCCTGCTGAGCGCAGAGCCAGACTCCCAGGACTCCTGGATCTTGACCTGAGCCGAAACCAAGAGTTGGCCACTTAAAACTGATTGAGCCACCCAGGCACCCTTCATAGCCAATTTAATGCTGTAAAATCTACATTTACACCCCATTCAGAATTATGGTGCATTAATGGTACAGTACAAATTCAGAAGATAATTTCCATTGCTCAGAAATTTATATTATAGTGACATGTCAGGTATCCTAATTTCCTTTTTTTTTGTATTAAAAAAAGCACTTTGCTTTTATAAGTAAGTTTTTTTAATTAGGTAGCATATTTCTTTTTAAAAAATGTGTAAAAAAGTCAACCACCAAAAACTTTGGTCTCTGTTTTAATAAAAAAAAATTCTTCAGGTGTTTCTCTATCCAGGTATTGACCAGGGCACTAGTGAGACTCTGCAGGTGCTGAATGTGGTACATCTTGATCTGGGCTATGGCCACAGGGGTATTCATGTAAAATAATCAAGCGATTTGTACACTTACGATCTTTGCTTTTCAGTTTTTGTAAGTTATACTTCAGTTTGTCTATTTTAACGAGGAGATTTTAGAAAATATTTCTCCCTTCAGGGTTGATGTTAGATTGCTTTTTTCATGTGTTTTTATGGCCCTCTGTTGAAGAACATTCTCTCATATCTTTATTTCTCTTCTGCTCTAGGAACACATACCGCATGATTGAACAAGATGACTTTGACATTAACACCAGGCTACACACAATTGTTAGAGGGGAAGATGAGGCAGCCATGGTAGAATCAGTGGGCTTGGCCCTAGTGAAGCTACCAGATGTCCTTAATCGCTTGAAGCCTGATATCATGATTGTTCATGGAGACAGGTTTGATGCCCTGGCTCTGGCTACATCTGCTGCCTTGATGAATATCCGAATCCTTCACATTGAAGGTGGGGAAGTCAGTGGGACCATTGATGATTCTATCCGACATGCCATAACAAAACTGGCTCATTATCATGTATGCTGCACCCGAAGTGCAGAGCAACACCTGATATCCATGTGTGAGGACCATGACCGCATCCTTCTGGCAGGCTGCCCTTCCTATGACAAGCTTCTCTCTGCCAAGAACAAAGACTACATGAGCATCATTCGGATGTGGTTAGGTATGTATCAAACTTTATTCAGTCTAATGGTTGTTTTTGTCCTCTTGGGTATGTTTCAGGTTTGTTTTTTTTTTTTTGAAACTATTGTAGGTAGAATATTCCATTAGAATTCGGAAGGCTAAAGTTTTCGTTCATAGATCTCACCCTATGGTATGACTTCACCTCTCTGAGACTCACCTTTTCTGTGGAATAGTCTTAATGGATTGAATTTTTTAAATCTGTGCTATAATTTGGGGCGCCTGGGGTGGCTCTGTCATTAAGCATCTGCCTTCGGCTCGGGTCAGTGATCCCGGAGTCCTGGGATGGAGCCCCGCATTGGGCTCCCTGCTCAGTGGGCTCCCTGCTCAGCTTGTGTTCCTGCTCTCGCTATCTCTCTCTCTCTATCGACTAAATAAATAAAATCTTTAAAAAAAAAAAAAATCTGTGCTATAATTTATAGAATGAATGCTTTTAATCCATTAAATATGCTGTGGGTAAATATTTAGTTACAAGGACAGATCCTGATATAACAACAAGGAGGGAAAAACAAGCTACAAAATTACATGTATAATAGGATGCCATTTTAATTAAAACTGTAACATAATGGAAAGATTAGGAAGTATGTATACCAAATCATTTATAATGTTTATTTCTGGTTAGTAAGAGTTGTGTGTTTTGGTTTTTGTTTTCCTGTATTTTGTTTTTTGGAGAATGAAAAAACTTTTTTTTTAAAAGACTTATTTATTAGAGAGAGGGGGTGGTGGTGGGAGAGGGGCAAAGGGTAGAGGGAGAGAGCAAGAGAATCCCAAGCTGACTCCATGCTGAGCACAGAGCCCGACTTAGGGCTTGATCCCATGACCCTGAGAGCACGACCTGAGCTGAAACCAAGAGTTGGATGCTTAACTGACTGTGCCACCCAGGTGCCCCTGAAAAAACTATTTTTAATTTTAATGTCTTTCATAAGAGATTGTTGGAATACTCAGATAATGTTGAAAGCAGTAAGCTATAAGTACTTATTAACATAAGGGATTGTGGTGATTATAATTAAAGCAAAAGTCATAGTTGTACCGTTAGGATTATCTCTGTAAATAGCCTTAAGTTCTGAAATCTTCACTGATCAATGATCTAGCTTCCTGGAAATTATCTTTTTTGAATAAGAGGCAAAGGAAAGTTTTATAAACAGAATGTCAATTGCTTAATTTATAGTGAGAGTACTATCTAGAGGGCAAATCAAGACCAATCTTAGACATTTGGGACTCTGCTTTTTTAAGAGGTAGATCTATAGTATAATGAAATTAATGAATAGAAAATTGATTTAGTGTGGGGCACCTGGGTGGCTCAGTCGGTTAAGCCCCTGACTCTTGATCTCAGCTCAGGTCTTGATCTCAGGGTCATGAATTCAAGCCCTGTGTTGGGCTCCACACTGGGTGTGGAGCCTACTTAAAAAAAAATTGATTTAGTGATTGTGTATATATATATTGCTAGCAAGTGGGGGGAGGGGCAGAGGGAGAGAATCTTCAAGCAGACTCCCTGCTGGGTGCGGAGCCCACCATGGGGCCCGAACCCCAAACCCATGAGATCATGACCCTGAGACAAAACCAAGAGCTCAACTGACTGAGCCACCCAGGTGCCCTGTGATTGTGTATATTTTTAATTTAGATCACATTAGAACAGGAAAGGAATAGGGCTTTCCTACTAATGAATTAATCCAATCTATGTATTTCTTACCATTGGACAGATATTAGTTATCAAGGAGCCTGTCTAGATAATGCCAATGGAATAAATTCTGTCTTTTCAGCCTCTCCTTTTTGTATGCTTTTTTTTTAGATTTTATTTATTTGAGAGAGAGAAGATGAGCCAGGGGAGGGCCAGAGGGAGAGGGAGAAGCAGGCTCCTGCTGAGCAGAGAGCCCGATGCAGGGCTCGATCCCAGGACCCTGGGATCATGACCTGAGCCGAAGGCAGATGCTTAACCGACTAAGTCACCCTGGCGCCCTTCCTTTTTGCATGTTTCTAAGTATACACTCTTGCATTCTGATTATACTGTTTGCTCTAGATGGATTCTGAAAAACTTAGTATTTCTGAAAAGCTTGTAATGAATAGCAAATAACCCTTATAAAGCAAAATGTGGCAAGACTGTACTTGTGGGGCTTAAGGTTCTACTTGGAACCATTTCAGCAGTTTCTTTATGAAAAGAAGGATGACAAAATAGCAAAAAGTAGATTTTTTTTTTTTAAGCCATTGGAAAAGAAAAGACAATGAGTCTAAGCCACCCACCCCTGCCAGTATGTTTTGTGCAAAATCTGTAACTGCTTCTCCACCTGCAACTTCTGATGGCATCACTCTGCTCATAGGAAGAATAGGATTGGGTAGGCCACTCAGAGCATGCATCTGCGTCATCAGAACATGAATAAATAACAGTCATAGTAAAAATAGTAGCAAAGTTAAAAAGGGGCACCTGGGTAGCCCTGTTAGTTAAACTTCTGACTCTTGATTTCAGCTCCGGTCATGATCTCAGGGTCGTGAGGTTGGGCCCTGCGTCTGGCTCTGTGCTGGGCATGGAGTCTGCTTAAGATTCTCTCTCGCTCTCCCTCTGCCCCTCCCCCTCCCTCTCTAAAAAAAAAAAAAAAAAAAGTTAAAAAGACTTGTTAAATTCCGAATAATGAAAGAAATACCACAGTAAATAGAGAACTTTACAACATGAAACAAAATGATGATACCTTAGGGTTGTGTAGAAGGGCTGAGTGAGACAAAGCAGAGTGACGTCAGAAGTTGCACATTGAGGAGCAAGAGGTTTCGTGTTTGGTCTCTTCCTTCCAGTTCCCACCAATGAGAAAATGCAGTAGCCAAGAGACATAAACCTTAGAAGGTGGGAGGGTGTCTCTAGGAAGGAAATGATCCTACGCACTACAGGGAAATAGCCATTACTGGTTTTTCTTGTTCTCTTATTTATGTTAGCTATGCATTAAAGTAATCTTGAGCTTCATCAATTCATTAATATTGTTGATAATTCATTAGAAACACTGGTTAGAAATGGGGAAGATTTACATTTTTCTAATGCTTTTAAATATTTTGGATTTTAAAGCAACAGATTCTTGTGACTACTGCTTAAAGTTATATATTTTTGTTTGTGGTAGCAAGCGCCTTTGTAAAATGTTAACTTTGCTAGATTCCTGGACTTGTTCCTGTGAGTTCTTACTGTTTGATCCTGTATTCAGATACTCTGCCTGGAATGTGGCAAACTGTTTTGTCCTTAGAATTTTTAAGCACAGACTTTGGGGTCTTGCTTTTTAGAATTTGCTTCTTCCTCTTTAAGATTCTTAACTAATGAAGCAGTGTGGTTTGATTTTCTTTAAACAGGTGATGATGTAAAATCTAAAGATTACATTGTTGCACTACAGCACCCTGTGACCACTGACATTAAGCATTCCATAAAAATGTTTGAATTAACATTGGATGCGCTTATCTCATTTAACAAGCGGACCCTAGTTCTGTTTCCAAACATTGATGCAGGTAATTGAAAATGAAGTTATGCCACGTACTTTTCCGATTTGCTGTTTCTATTATGTCTTCTTTTGACTGCGCCTCCTATCTTGCTTTTATCATTGAAGCCATTGTAGTCTGAAATGCATTCCAGTTGTCAGGGGATCACCAAGTTTGTAGTAGATGGAAGTTTGTGATGTTTTTGCCGAGTTTAGTAGAAACTGAATAGGGAAGAAATACTACAAAAAATTTCTCCAATCTCCACTGTAGTTCCACATTTAGTCTCTTCTCTCCAGTTTTACCAATGAGAAAATGTAGCAGCTAAAAGACATTAACCTTAGAAGGTTGAAGGGTGTCTCTAGAAAAGTAATGATCCTAGTGAGTGCAGTAAAATAGCCACTGTTATTTCTTGTTCTCTTATTTATTTATGTTAGCTATACCTTAGTCTTGAGCATAGGCAGTTGAGATCTGGAGTCCCCAGCCAGTTCATCCTCAAGCCTGACCTGGTTGACCATCTACTGGTGGACGATACTGTAGCCTTTGGTGCTGGTGAGACCTTAAGCAGGTTAATGGGAAGATGAGATATAAATGAGAAATGCAGAGCAGGACCTGACACTGCAGTATTTTCAATTACTGGTTTAGCTGATACCACTCATTGCTGAGCTTTTAGGCATTTTTTGATGAAGGAGGCAGGACCCTTCCCTGCAGTACCAAGATGTCACCATCTTACTCTGAAAGTACCCCTCTCTTAGTGTCTCTTGAATTATCTTTTCTGTTAGGGGAAACAATGTAGGATGTTAGTTGGAAAAAAAGAAATTAAGAACCCCCGACCCAGGTTTCATCCAGGTAATGTACCAGTATCTCAAAAACCTTAATATTGATTCTTCTAATCCTTTCAATTTTCTAAACATTTGGTAATGTAATTATATGTCTCTCATTCAGTATTCATTGTCAGCGATACTCCATTTGTTGTATACTTTCCTGATTGTATACACTTTAGAATTAGAGATATTTTTCCCCTAGGAAAATAAAGGGTCCCAGGAATACCTAAATCATGTCTGCTACTCACTTCTCCTCCTCACAGGGTTTTTGATAAAATACACATAAGGAATAATAGGGAAATAATCGTGGCATCTCTTTATCATTATGTGGTGTAGAGCCCAATTCCCCAATGTAGGAGAACAGAAGTAGTGTCTGGTTTAGGCTTAAGGCCAGAGAAAGCCTTCACTGAGCCCAGATCTGAATCTTGGAATAGTACCATCTTCTGGTGTACCAAATGCTGCAGTAATTATAGTCAGTAACTGGCATGCTCTGGCAGGACTGGGCATAGAGAGAGGTGGTCAGGCCTGCTGTAAAGAGTTACACCCTGAGTCTGTTACCTACCTCACCACATAGAGAATGTTAAAAAGTGAAAACACATGCATGTCCAGCTTCTCTTAAGTCAGTAGCTCCTGCCCACTGGTGAACACAGTGTGGTAACACGGTGTGGTCTCTGGTCCCTGTCCTGCTGTCTAACCAATCTCGGTAGCAACCTTGTCTCCTAGAGGGTAGCTAGGAAAAGGTGAGTAAAGAGGCAAGCTGAGAGGCATTAAATATTGCCTCCCCTCATACATGTTTAACATTAAAAAACCCATGCATTTGAAACAAAATGTCAGCTACAGTATCAGAATCTACGTGTATTTTCTTGGAGCTTAGTCCATGTACGTGGGAGTGCTATCCAGTTGAGCTATTGTTAGGGTAAGTATGAGCATAGCTGAGGCGGAGGCTCTCTGATCAGCTGGGTGTGTGGAGCCTGAGACCTTTCAGTTCAGGAACTCCCAGCTTGAGAGAGAGAGTGCTGGCCTGTCTTGAACCTCTTAATTGCTGCTTAAGGTAGAGCTTTTACTGGGGCATCAATAAAAGGTACTTGCTTTGCTGAATGCTGTTTGAAAAGTCCCAAATGCTGCTGTTTAAAGTTCCTAGATGAGTTGAAGCAGAGAGCTGACCACACATTTTAGATAGTCATCATTCCTGAGAAGATCAGTAATTAAAATTACTGTCTCCCTAATAACCGTCATGAATTCCTATAGGGTGATTTCTTTAGGTGGAAATGGTTTATCTCATAAGCCATTTAACAGGTGGTCCTTTTCATTTTGACAGGGAGCAAAGAAATGGTTCGAGTGATGCGGAAGAAGGGCATTGAGCATCATCCCAATTTCCGTGCAGTTAAACATGTCCCATTTGACCAGTTCATACAGTTGGTCGCCCATGCTGGTTGTATGATTGGGAACAGCAGCTGTGGAGTACGAGAGGTTGGAGCTTTCGGAACACCTGTGATCAATCTAGGAACACGTCAGATTGGAAGAGAAACAGGTATTTACCTCAGTTTGTGTCTCACTTGACTAGAAATCTGTGTGGAATCAGTGGCTCCTGCCCACTGGTGAGCGCAGTGTGGCCGCTGTCCTGCTGCCTGACCAGTCAGATTGGCAGCTTTGCCTCCCCTGGTGGCCAGTACCTAGGAGAGTGAGGGGAGAGGCATGAGATATGGGCTCCCCCTTACACATCTGTGACCTTTTTTCCATCATATATTTGAATTATTACAAGGTTTGCATGTATTGGTGCTGGCATGCATTTTTATGAACGAGTGAGAGAATGAAGTTAATGACCAGTTGTCACCTAAAATCTATAAATAGCACAAAGTGATTTTTGTTTTTTTTAGGGCTCTGCTTAATATTTTTATTGTCTTTGTAATGTCAGAGCTAAGATTTTCTTAGCTGATTATGGTCTTTGATGGCTGTGTTTAAGATAGAATGATTGTGTTTTAAGTATATGAATGCTAGTCTTTCATTTGTGGGTACAGTAGAGTGCCTTTAGTGAGTACTCCAGAGCATGGAAATTCTAAATAAGATGCCCCCTTAATAACTAAAGTATAAGAAGGATTATTATTAATGAATTTACTAGCTGAGCTAGATCTCATTATTAATATTAGTCCAAGTTCTAGTAGTATCCATGCAAATATATTTCTGTAGCTAATGGAAAAATGTATATACTTTGTGGACAAAGAACTGGACTAGAATCAAAGAGGTTAGTTCCAGCTCTGCTCTTTCTGTGTTCATAATTGCTACCCTAATTTTCTGTTACCTTTAGGTCTTCCTTCTCTTTCATTCCCAACATATTACTTTGTTCCCCACTTCACAGAGAAAATACAAACCATTGAATTGAAATTCTCTCAACTTCATTCATTAAGAAAATATTTAATAAGTACCTACTATGTGTAGGCGCTGGGATTTGGCAGTAAACTATACTAACCAGGACTGAGCTCTCATGTAGCTTTATTCTAGTGGGAGGGGAGATAGATGATAGACCAAAAAAAAAAAAAAAAGGAAAAAGAAGAGTATCAGACGTTCTGTGTGCTGTGCAGTCTGTAACACAATGTAATATGATGGGATACATTAGATGGCATAAGGGAAGGCCTCATTGAGCAGATGACACTTCAGCTGAGACCTGAGTGACAATGAATCTGCTATGTGAGAATCAGGGAGAAGCAGAGGGAACAGCCAGCATGAAGACCCTAAGCTGGGAATAAGCCTGACGCATTTGAGAAACAGAAGAGCCAGTGTAGCTGTAAGGTAGTGGGCAAGAGGAAGAGTGATACAAGATGATGTAAGAGAAGGAGGCCGACCTTTGTAAGCCAGGGTAAATAATCTGGGATTTTTTCCTGAGTATCATGGGAAGCCATTTATGGGAGGTGGACACCATGTGACTTGCATTTTGGAAAGACCACTCTGCTGCTTTATGGAGAGTGGACTGTGGTGGGACAGGAGTGGAAGCAGGGAGACCAATTAAGAGGTTATTTCAGGTCATATGAGAGATGGTACTGGCTTAGAGTACCTGGTAATAACAGAGGTGGACAAAGGTTAGATTTGGGGTTTGTTAGAGTACTCACTGCTGCTTGGATGTAAGCAGTGAAAGGAAGAAACTTTTAGATTTTTGGATGGAGCAGTGGGGGTACTCTTTCCTGACATGGGGGAGGCTGCAGGAGGAACACATTTGGGAGGGGTGGAATTAAGAGTTCTCAAATGGCCGTGTTAAATTTGAGATGCCTATTAGATTTCAAAGTGGACATGGCAAGCAAGCAGCTAGATAGTTCTAGGAGAGTCAGAGTTAGAGATAGAAATTTGAGAGCGATTGGTATGTGGATGGTGTTTAGTTAAGATATCAGTTCATTTGCTGTAACAGAGAGACCCAAAATAATAGTGCCTAAGTAAGTTAGAATTTCTTTGTTTCTCATTGGTATAGCTCCACGGTCATCAGAGAATTAGCCTCTTTCTGTCTTCTTGATAGATGCTCCACCTCTTGCTGTCAAGTCCACATTTTAGCCATTGGGAAGGAAGAGAGGAAAGGTGTCCTTCCTTTTTTTTTTTTTTTTTTAATATTTATTTATTTGACAGAGACACTTTGAGAGAGGGAACACAAGCAGGGGGAGTGGGAGAGGGAGAAGCAGGCTTCCTGACTAGCAGGGGGCCCAATGTGGGGCTCGATCCCAGGACCCTGGAATCATGACCTGAGCCGAAGGCAGACACTTAACGACTGAGCCACCCAGGCGCCCAAGGTGTCCTTCCTTTTAAAAGCACACCCCCCTCAGAAGTTGCAAATATTTCTTCACATATCCTATGAGAATATAGTCACAGGGTCACATCTAGCTGTAGGGGAAGCTGAAGAATATAGTCTTTAGCTGGATTATCAGATACCCAGCTAAAAATTTTGATAACTAGTACAGAGAAGGGATATGGAGGATAATGGTGCACTCTGCCAGAGATGTCATTTAAAATGAAGGGACTATATGAGATTGCCCAGGGGTGACATGTAAATAGGGAAGAGAATGGAGCCCAGGACCAACCGCTGAAGCCCTTCAGCATTTAGGGTTCTGGTGAGAAGGAAGGGGCCCGCAAGGAAGACTGAAAAGAAACTGCCAGTGGGGTCAGAGGAAACCCAGGAGGGGTGATAGCATTAAAGCCCAGGAAAGAAAGTGTTTTGAAGAGACAGTGTTGAACGCTGCTGAGAGTTCAAGGACGATTCGAACAGACAGTTGAACGCTGGATTTGCAACGGGTCTTCTGTTGTCAAAGGCAGTCTTGTATATTCTGTCAACACACTTAGATAAACACATGCCTACCCATCCTTTCCTTCTTACCTATTTACTTCGGAGGGCGTGGCGTCTCTCTGTCCTGCCCACCTCTCAGCCTTCTACCCATGTTCTAGATCCCCACCCTTCCTACTTTCTCCAGGACCTCAGGGGCATCCTTTCTCTGCCATGAATCTTCAGCCTCCTCATCATTGAAACATGCCTCAGCCTCTCACATCTTAGAAATAATGACCCCACACCTCTCTCTAGCTACCGCTCTTCTGCTCTTCTCTTCTTAGGCAGCTCTATTGAAAAATATGGCTATTTTCACTGTATTGACTCTATCACATTGGTCAGAAAATACATGGAGACAAAATGACTGAAGAGCTGAAGGGCTTATTGACTGACTGACGAACCTCGCTTGAGCAGCTGATGAACAGCCGGCTGAGTAGATGATGGAAAGAGTGGACACACTAGACAACTGGGGGGGGGGGGGGTTCGCAGGTGCTAGATTCATGCATGTCATTTATTTCAGTAAATCAACAAGAACTTGATTTTTTTTTTTAAGATTATTTATTTATTTATTTGACAGTGAGAGAGGGAACACAAGCAGGGGGAGAGGGAGAAGCAGGCTTCCCGCTGAGCAGGGAGCCCAATGTGGGGCTCGATCCCAGGACCCTGGGATCATGACCTGAGCCGAAGACAGACACTTAACGACTGAGCCACCCAGGCACCCCAACAAGAACTTGATTTATTCTCTTTGGGAATAAAGGACCCTAGTTCTTAAGTATTTGATTCATGGAAATCTTGCTGAGAGTGCTTTAAAAGGTATAAAGGAGAAAAGTTGATGCTGCTCTAATAGAAGACTCATTTGAAGTTCTCTGGGTTTCAGGGTTAATTTTGAGCACAACACAGCACATTGCTAATTTCTTTATTCTTTGGACATTTCCACTTCCAAATCATTGTGTCACTGGGTTCACCTAGGGGAGAATGTCCTTCATGTCCGGGATGCTGATACCCAAGACAAAATACTGCAAGCATTGCACCTTCAGTTTGGTAAACAATACCCTTGGTGAGTATATATACCCTTTTTAGTGATTTCAAAGGGGAGCTGCCTCGGGTACCATTTTTAAGCTGTGACCATTCTTCAGTTCATTTTAACAGAGTTTTCATTCTGCATCCCTAGGGGTCCCCTAGCTGCTAGTGAGACAGGACTTGCTAATATAACCCCTATTATTCTACCAAGGGTTCAAATGGAGGATAACTTCTTTTATTTGTCTCAGTTAATTAATATAGCACTTCTGCCAGGAAATACGTCTTTAGCCTACTTTGACTTTTGTAAATCTTAGAAAATAACTGATTTTATTTAAAAATAGTCTAGTTCAGCATTGTAATTTAGACTGCTCTCCTTTCTATTTCAAATTAATGAGATTTTCCTATATTTGAATGTTTGAAATGTTTGAGTTCTGAAAATAACTATTTTTCCCCATGAATGTAAAGATTAAAAAAGCAGTAAGTACATAAATTTGTTTTCCCAAACTATGTTATATTCTGAAATTGGCTTAACAAAGATAATTTGTCTTTGATGATAGAGGCATTTGCTAATGGTATCTCGGGCTGAAAATAGCTGTATTTCAATCAGCAGTAGAATTAGACCTTCCGTTAGTAATGTGCATGTACTTTCTGTGTTGCTGGAGATATCAGATGTTGTTATTTTAAAATGAAGAAGCACAACTTTATTACCTGAAGTCTCGGTTTCTATTTTACCATGTCCTACATATCATGTAACATGTATGAGAGAAGCATTTAATTTAATTGAGTTTTTTGATATTGCAGTTCAAAGATCTATGGGGATGGAAATGCTGTTCCAAGGATTTTGAAGTTTCTTAAATCTATTGATCTTCAAGAGCCATTACAAAAGAAATTCTGCTTTCCTCCTGTGAAGGAGAATATCTCTCAAGATATTGACCATATTCTTGAAACTCTAAGTGCCTTGGCTGTTGATCTCGGCGGGACAAACCTCCGAGTTGCAATAGTCAGCATGAAGGTAAAACAATTCCCAAGTCTTAACTTCATATCTTATATAAATAATTGATTTTTTTTTTTTAAGTATGGTTGGAAGGTAGGACTAGAAACATACATTCGAGCTTGTAATCATTTGCCCACGGTATTGACTTTTGGATCCATTACAATGTTTGCCTCACTGTTTTACTAAGCATTAACATTTGAAAGAAGTAAAATTCTCTGGGAATCCAAGTTAGTAGACTTCAGTTGACAGTGGAAGACCCCTTATACACCAGAGAGGGCTCTTGCCATCCAGGAGACCTGGAATTCTATACTTGGTAAAGCATGGAGCATGCTGATTACTGTCCCTACCCAGGGGAGGGTATCAGCAAATGGTGAAGGGAATTGCATCTTCTCTAGATAGAACATGATTTTAGTTGAGTATAGCATACCTTCAATCCCTTAACCAAAAGACCAACACAGTGTTGACAGAAACTGAGAGAGCCTTCGTAAAAACATAAATTATTCATGTTAAAATGATCTCTGATGACTTAAGAATAAACCTACCAGAAAAACCTTTGAAATATTGTAGTATATAAAATTTTAGGAGTCTATGAGAAATGGCAAGGATTTAAAAAATAAAGTTGTTTAGGTCAAATAAAGCAAAACAAAACATAATTTTCTCAGAAGAAGCCAATGGTCTCCTTTGTAAATACTCTTTAAAAAGCATTGAGAGAAGATTTTCTTAACCTAAAGATGGTCTTTCTGGATCACTAGCCAGAACCCTTTGTAGTGGTCAAATTCTAGAAACATTCCTATTAAAATCAAGAAGAAAAGAAAGATGTTTTCTGCAACATTATTGCACATAATTCTGGAAGTTAGGAAGGGAAGAAAAGCAAGGAACAAACAGCACAATGGGGATTGTGCACAGAGTAAAACAAAAAATATTATGACAATATGAATAAACAAGCTTGCAGAATTAATAAGATACCTGAGTAAAATGTATGTTAGGATAAATACATAAATACCAGTGACTTCCTACTTATATGAAATTTTAGGCAAAGATTTTTGAGTTTTCCTGTAAATGAGTGTTTGTTAGCCTGACTGCACATTAGCATTACCGGGAAGCTTTAAAAAATATATAGGTACCTGGCTCCCACCCCAAGACTAATTTGAATTTCTGGGCGGCATCAGTATTTATTCAAAGCCCAGGTGATTCTGCTGCACAGTGAACGTCTGAGAAGCACAAGTTTAGGTTTGCTTTCTTGTTTGTTTGTTTAGTTTAAGTAGGCTCCAAACCCAGCATGGAGCCCAATGTGGAGCTCAGACTCACGACTGTGAGAGTAGGACCCGAGCCAAGATCAAGAGTTGGACCTTTAACCAACTGAGCCACGCAGGCGCCCCTAGGTTTATTTTTTAATGACAGTCCTTAGTGACAGCTCTAACCGTTGTAAATGGATAAAATCCGTTAGTAACAGAAGAATGGAAAAAGAACCTATTCAGAACAACAACCAGAAAAATTGTAAGAATCATCTAAACCAAAAAACAATGTAACCTATATAAAGAAAGCTATAAAACTTTAGCATATAAGGTAAAGGCTTGAAAAATGTCCTGGATGGGAGTGCTGAATATTGTTAAAATGTCAGCACTTTCCAAATTGAATTATAAGTTTAACATAATTTTAGTCCACATTTTAATGGGATTTTTTTTTAAAGTTTAACAACACTGTTCTGAAATTTACTCAAAATAATGCACAAGTGAGTAGAGCAAAGAAAATTTTAAAAAAATTTAGGAGAGACTCTCTTTGACTAGTATTAAAACATATCACAAAGTGCAGTAATTTTATTTATTTTCGGGGGGCAGCAAAGCAAAGTTTATTGAGCGATAGCAATGTGATAGTACAAAGCTCCTGAAGAGGAAGGGGACCCGAGAGGGTTGCCCACAAAGCGCGGTAATTTAAACATCATGGAACTGTGCTGTTATTGGCTTCTGTTATGGGAGGTGATTAAAGGTTCACCTCCTTAGGATATTTATTTAGTTGCCTTAGTTTTTAAGCAAGGAAATTTTTGTCAGCCTGAAAGAAAAAACTATGACCTTCTCATGAAGATTGAGATTAGCTAGCATTCACTTGGCGCCGGAAGAGGGCCCGTGGTTTGCTGTGGAGCCGCCACTGCTTCAGGATGGCTCCCAGGAGACGGCTTGGGCGCACCTCAGGGCTGGCCTGTACCAGACTGGCTCCGTCCCGAGCACTCATCTAAATCTACAGGACTCTCTGTCCTATGGCGAAGTCTGATTTAGCATGAAAAAGGTCGGAAGATTCACAGGATGCTCCTTAGGTACGATCAATGAGATAGGGTTTGTTTTTTTTCTCTTTTAGGGTGAAATTGTTAAGAAGTATACTCAGTTCAATCCTAAAACCTATGAAGAGAGGATTAATTTAATCCTACAGATGTGTGTAGAAGCTGCAGCAGAAGCTGTAAAACTGAACTGCAGAATTTTGGGAGTAGGTGAGATTGTGAATTGCATATTCAAGAAATGTTCATTTTGATATACAGAGTTTACTGAGTTCTGATGCATGACTGACCGTCAGGTCACTGCCCTGTGTATGTGGCTCCAGGTCCTGTCTCTGGGCCCCAAGCATGGGGACTTTCTGGAACACCAGTAATCATCATGGGTACGGTACATTGGTGGGGAGCTACAGATTTAGCTCAGAATTGCCTGACATTTCCTTGCAGTCTTTGGTAATATTTGTCTTAGGAGATCTTGAGTGAATTAATTTGTGCTTGAAACCCAGGAATTTGGCACACTTTTCTAAAATGGCTTATGAGAATTATTTTCCTTTTGTGTGTGGTGGAGCTCAGGTATTTCTACGGGTGGCCGTGTAAATCCTCGGGAAGGAATTGTGCTGCACTCAACCAAATTGATTCAAGAATGGAACTCCGTGGACCTCAGGACCCCCCTCTCTGACACCCTGCATCTCCCCGTGTGGGTGGACAATGATGGCAATTGTGCTGCCCTGGCGGAAAGGAAATTTGGCCAAGGAAAGGGCCTGGAAAACTTTGTGACACTTACCACAGGCACAGGTGAGAGAAGTGAGGGCAGGTGGCTCCGGGAGCTAGACTGTGTGTCGGGGCATGCCCTCAGCTTCATCCAGGCAGCTTGTAAGTCTGCTTTAGTCTTCACTTCCTGCTTGAGTAGAGCCAGAAGGTGAGCCCCGTGTGAGTGCATAGGGCCTTCCTAGGCTTTCCTGAGCATGTGCCCCGCCCTGGGCATGCATGTGGACCTCAGACTCCCAGGAACTTGTCAGAGCTATTCAAAGCGCTTACTCCCCAAAGCTACTCATTCCCAGCTTCTCCCAGTCTTTTTGGTTAGTATAATATTTGCCTCAACTATCAGATGTTGTCCTGGACAGCGGAGACTAATAAATATATTTTTCCTTTAAATGTCTTTGACAAACACCCCCTGGGTAGCCCCCTCAAGTTCTGAGGTAGGTGCCATAACAAGCTTTTTGAGGTGGGAGCTGCCAAGTAGGTCAAAACAAACCACCACAGTTTTTTGAAAATAGTCTTGCTCCCTCCAGTATTGCCATCTTTACTGAGAATGTGGGCTGGTTCAAGGCCACCAAGCTGGGGAGGGGGGGGTGGGACCAGAAAATGCCAGAAAGCGCTCTCATTAAAATTCAGCTGTTTTTTTTTTCTTGATTAAGCATTCCCCTGGTTGTTACAAACTTGTTAGTTTCCAGAGCTCCAAAAAAATTGGTTCTGACAGTTTTTGCCAGTTTATTCATTGCTTTAGTGAAGGGATGGACTTTTGGAGTTGCCTACTCTGCCATTTTTGCTGATGTTCTAGTTTGTTTTTGGAATGAGGAAACAGACTCCGCTAGTAGGTGGTTGAGCCACCGTTTGATCCCAGATAGGTCTAACCTCAAAACTTGTGTGCTCTTAAACTCTACATGATGCTACCTCCTCTGGAAGCTCAGGCCCTTCTTCTCTTAGTCTCAGACACAGGTTTAGCAAGCTTGGAGATCATTTCCTAGATTTCCTGTCAGAGCGGATAGTTTGCAAATTAGAGGGGTGGAGTTGAAGAGTAGGTGCCACAGGAAGTAATTGATGGCAGGATAAGTCTAAAAAGCAGAGCCTTCTCAGGCTTTCCTCCTTAATGACTCCTAAACGCCACAAAACAAGAGTCATTGATACTCATAATGACTGAGTCACAGAGTTTTAGATATGGTGGCATTAAGAAGAGGCAAAATCATATTTTGTATGCTCTGTTTAAGAAAGAGAGTGGTGTATGATATATTTTGGAAAGATGGTCTTCCCTTGAGTTTCTCCTACACCGGAGCCCAGGATGAGGACTTAGGTTATTTTATGTCGGAGGTGTTCCTGAGAAGCAAGAGTGAAGGAGTGAGAAGAGTAGAACAGAGTAGGTGGAAAGCCATTATCCAAGTTGCCTTGAGTGCAGTGGGGGCTGAAATCTACCAGAACCTGCCAAGAAGTCTGCAGACCATCCAGAATTGTCCACTGGAATCTGCTGGCTCTTGCCATGCTTGGTTGAGGATGTCCTGTGCTCTCGTGGATGACGAGACTCTTACTTTAATGTTGGAGATGGCCTCAGTGAGGAGACAGGCCATGTGAGCTTGAGGTGGTACACTGTCATCACACAGTGAGTCCGAGCCTGTGTGGGTCTATTCCCCACAGCTGTGGTTGAAATCACAGTGAGCCAAGTAGATGCAACGCAGGGTTGCAACATTAGGGTTAAGGTTAGGGATCTGCTTGAAATATTTCCCTCCAAAATGCTTCCAGGTAAAGTGTCGGTACTTAGTAAGTTCCAGCTACTTAGGAGAGAAGGCATCATAAAGAACCTCACATTCCAAAGCTTTGCTAAACAGACGAGGAGTTGCTATATCACAGCTTCCTGTTTCAGTTGAAGAGCCACCTCAGTGATTGTTCTCTCCCTGTAGGAATTGGCGGGGGGATCATCCATCAGCACGAGCTGATCCACGGAAGCTCCTTCTGTGCTGCAGAACTTGGCCATCTTGTTGTGTCTCTGGATGGGCCTGATTGTTCCTGTGGAAGTCATGGATGTATTGAAGCATACGCCTCTGGAATGGCCTTGCAGAGGGAAGCAAAAAAGCTACATGATGGTTGGTTTCTTTCACCTGAGGAATTAAATAGCTATATGGTAGACAAGTATTTCAAAGTAGGTATTCCAAAAAGAGCTGGACACTGAAGCCAGAACTTTTACCCTTCTCACTTCCTGGAGGAAAGGCGGGGCTTCCTTATACCAAAGCTCCGAAATCCCCTTAGTCCTGACCCATATTAACACTTCCCAGTGGTGGGGATGGACAAGGGTCTTGAGCTCCAGGATAGCGGGGAAGATTTGATTGTTTCCTCAGCCCCTAGCTGAAGAAGTAAATGGATTAACATACTACAGTTGTGAACTCTGAGTCTATTTGAATTAAAGCTATTTCTGGACATGTTATAAAAGTCAGGATGGTTTCTAGTCTAATTCAAGAGGGAGTCATTTACTGTCATTATAATACAGTGTCAAGTGCCCTGAGACTGATGGCCAGGGGATGTAGGTGCATATGACACCAGAGTTCCCTCCCTGCCCTCTTCATGGGGGGAAGGGAGTGTTAAGGTGCTGTCTGGGGGTTGAGAGAGGGTAAATAGAATTAGCAGGGCAAGTTGGGATGAGCCAGGGATGCTTTCAAGCCTGGGAAACAGTCCTGTGGGTGCATAAAGGGCAGGGTAGGGTTGAGCGTAGCAAGAGGTAGGCCAAGACCAGCACCTAATGGAGAAGCCATTGAGAACTTCTGGGGGAAAAACATGGTCAGGTCTGAATTTTAGACTCTTCACTAAACTGTAACTTTTTGTTTTCTGGGAGAAAAATAGTAGTCGAATGGAGTAGCTTTAAACGGTACAGTTTTAGAGTGACTTCGGTTTTCTCGTCGGAGCCGGCTGCAGCGGAAAGGGATGTGGGGGTGGGGGATCCCGCCTGCGGGATGTGGGCTGGAGATGTGCAGGCGGCAGCTGGCTACGGGGGTCTTGCGCTCAGGAGAGAGTACTGGGCTAGAGGGTGGGGATTTGGGAATCATCAGTGCTGAGGTGCCAGTTAAACCTCTGAATGAGGTTTGGAGTGAGGCAAGAGTCGGGTGGAATCCTGCAAAACAGCATTTAATGGGCAGAAAGGAAAACCAAGAAAGGGTAAAGTCACAGAAGCCAGAGGGAGAGTGTCTCAAGGAATCACACTGGGAATGTCAAGTGCTGCTTATGAGTAAGAGAAAATCAGAAGAGCTCATTGGCTTTGGCCATGAGGACATGATTTGAAACCCTGAAAACTTTGTTTTTCAACTTCTTTTTTATCATTAGCCTCCCTTAGGGGCCTGTTTGGACATTTTTTTCCTAATCATTGCCTCCACACGTGATATTTCACAACCACAGATCTGTTTATCTGTTTGTGTTTATGTACTATTTGTATAAAAAGAGTAAGCTTTTTTTTTTTTTTTCCCTCAACAGTTTTTGTCTCCCTGGGGGCAAATGCGTGTCTTAAGAAAGAGCGCACTCAAATAGCAGGAGCAGAAGCCTGACTACTCTGAGTAAGAGGGAAGAAGTGCTTTGAGGACAGGGAGATTGTGAGCATCTGTCGGTGGAAAGACAGTGGGGATGGAAGCGAAGATTGAGAATGCAGAAGAGAAGGGGCAGTTCAGTCCCCACTGTAAGGCCCCTGAGGAGCCGGGAGGAGATGAGCTGCAAGGCTGAGTAGAGGGCCTGAGAGAGGGAGAGGAGGAGTGAAGGTGTGCAAATACAGACATGTTTTTAGGCGGGGACAGGAAAGTAAGGGAACCCCTGCCTCCTGGGGTCCTTTATCAGAGAGGTCAGCAGTCCAGAGGTCTTATGGTAGTGGGGGTGGGGTAGAAGGTTTGAGGTGGTGGGAGCTGAGAAGAGCCATGGGGGGGAATGGGAGAGACTGGTGGGCAGCTGTGAGGAGATCCCTGGGCCGGGGCTAGGTAGCAGCCTGCATGGTTGGGATTTGCTCTCATCAGAGCCCAAGTATGGTAGCAGACGAGGAGGATATGGACCCGGGTTGATGACGGGCAGAGTGAGGGGCAGAAAAGACAAGCACTACAGATAATAGAACTGCTTACTATTTAGTGAACATTGACTTGGCCAGCATTTGATGACGTTCTTTACGTCCATGATCTCATTTAGTTCCTCAAATAATCCTGCTAGGGTACGTGGTGGTACCCCCATTTTCTAGAGAAGAAAAGGGTGTAGAAGGGATGTGCCCTGGATATGGTTGTGCTGCTGGTCGTGGCTGAGCTGGTGACTGAACCCCGGTCTGTGTCAGTGCTTTAGGCACTGCCGTAGGATGGGGGGCCTGCAAGTGATGTGCACCTGGGATGGATAAAGGAAGGAGAGAAATAGACGAGTCTCTGTTGCATGTGAAGTGAGAAGTCGGAAGCTAGAGGTCTGGCTGGGAGGCTCTGATCGGAGGTGAGGATTTTCTGGTTAGGAAAGTTCTGGATGATGTGTAAGCAAGGCAGCAAGAGGGCAGCAGTGGCCTCTGGAGCAATGTATGTGGACATTTGTGAATGAGAAAAAGCTCTGCCAATGTGAAAAGAACACGCTGTCTTTCTACTTGGGGGCTCGCTGCCCACAGGCAGACTTCTCAGCCCGGGCCCCCTGCAGGGCTGCCACGGCTCCCTAATGCCTGCTGCTTCTCCCCTCTGCTCACACAGAGGACCTGCTCTTGGTGGAAGGGATGTCAGTGCTGAAAGACGAGGCCGTGAGCGCGGTCCATCTCATCCAAGCTGCGAAACTTGGCAACGCGAAGGCCCAGAGCATCTTGAGAACAGGTGAGCGTGTGGCTCCGGGCAGCTCTGCCGTGGGGGGCCCTCAGACTGCCCAGGGCTCCCGCACATAACCAGCTTCCCTCCGGATCAGTGCCCTGGAATGTGTGGTCAGAGGTGTTTTTCCTGCTTTCTGAGAGAGAGAAAGGGAGTGGCATTCAAGGTATTTGGCAGCATTGCCTCTATTAAACAGGTTTTTTGTTTTGTTTTACAACTATGGATAAACTGCTTGTTCGTCTTACAGGAAATCTAGAGAAATATAGGAGAGTAAGAAAAAGTTTCACTTCAGGTTTTACCACTCAGAGATGAACTATTAACATCTCCTTCCAGTCTTTCCTATTTTTTTTTTTTACATAGTTGAGATCATATGGTACAGTATATAGTATACCTAGCTTTTTTTATTTCAAAGCATAACATCATTTTCTCATATCAAGAATAAATCACAAATAGCTTTACAAGTACTGCTTTCTGTTATGTAGTGTGAATGTACTCAGTATTCTGGGCTGCTGACTCTTTCCACCATCCTCTGGCATTTTTGTTGTTTTGTTTTATTTTTTATTTATTTTTATTTTTTATTTTTTTTAAAGATTTTATTTATTTATTTGACACAGAGAGACAGCGAGAGAGGGAACACAAGCAGGGGGAGAGGGAGAAGCAGGCTTCCCGCTGAGCAGGGAGCTCAGTGCGGGGCTTGATCCCAGGACCCTGGGATCATGACCTGAGCCGAAGGCAGACGCTTCACCTACTGAGCCACTCAGGCGCCCCCTCTGACGTTTTTGATTTGATTTACTTTTTTGTTTTCTTGTAGCTGGAACGGCTTTGGGTCTTGGGGTTGTGAACATCCTCCACACCATAAATCCTTCCCTCGTGATCCTCTCTGGAGTCCTAGCCAGTCACTACATCCACATCGTCAAAGACGTCATCCGCCAGCAAGCCTTGTCCTCGGTTCAGGATGTGGACGTGGTGGTTTCGGATTTGGTGGATCCTGCCCTGCTTGGTGCCGCGAGCATGGTTCTGGACTACACAACTCGCAGGATCTGCTAGGCCTCTGGGGAGTGGACCTGGACCGAGACTCAGAGCTTCTTTGTGGAATCAGGTTGCCTTTTAGACGAGCGTTTCTTAAAAAGCAGTTTTGGTATTTAAATTTGGTATTTGGCAGGTGACTTCGGCAGTTAAATTTTTGCTTTTAGTCTCCTCTTCCGAAGTCACCTTTCCCAACCCTCACTTTTGTAAATGCTGCTCTTTCTGGGGTCATTTCAGCTCAAACCCTGTAAGTACCAGTCACAATCTTCTGTGCCAAAGGAGCTGTGATCGTAGACAAGGATGCCTCAGGGCTCTGCTTACTAGATGGACCACGTAGACCTGCAGGCCTTGTCTGAGGCAGGGCCTCGAGACTGGAGTGTAAATCACTCATCCTTCCTCCTCTCACCCTAAACTCAGATTGCGGAAAGGGATCCGGTCAGGAGACAGAAGGAAATCTCACTGTGAAAGGCTTAAGTAAACTTTTTTTAAAAACAGCTTTACTGGGGTATTTTTAAAAAGTGTACAATCTGATAAGCTTTGACATGTATACATCTGTGAAACCATCACCGCAATCAAGACATTGGACACCTCTGTCACCCCCAAATGTTGTTTGCTTAACAATGTTATTTATTACTCTTGCAGAATCTTGAGCAACTTTAGGGATTTGAATGACAGTGGCCCTGCTGACCTTGTCCTTATCTTCTTAAGGACAGCTGAGAAACCACTAGGACTTACAGCCTCTGAAAGGAGATTAACCATCCCCAAAGGATCCTTGCTGCTGACAGACACCTCTCCCTTCAGTAACTTTTCGTGCTGATGTTGAGTAGGACTCTGGAGTATCTGTTAAGGCAGTGTTTGCGGAGCCCGGATCTGTGACTCTGGATTCGGGCTCAGTAAGATTCTGTGCTTTCATTGGTGTCAAGATACAAAGGCCAAGATTCTTGCTATCAATTTTAACCTAGAAGAAATGCTAATACCCACCATTTATTAAGTACCTACTGTATGCCAGGCTCTGAACTAGGTGCTTCATATAAATTATTCTAAATTCACACAACCTGGGAGGTAAGTGTCCTCATTTCCATTTTATACGACCCCAAACTAAGTCTTGGTGTGCTGAAGTGATGGACCTAAAGCCATGTGGCTAGTGAGTCTTAGAAACAGGGTTTGATCCCAGGTCCCTCTGTGCTTTTCTGCTACGCCATACAACCTCTCAGATAAAAAAACTTGCAAAATGTGAATATATCCTAATTTACTTCATGCTACCAACAACTTTAATAAGACTGACTCACTTTGTCTTTGATGCTGTCCCTCAATGATAAATTTAATCAAGTACTCCTCTATTCTGTGGACATTCTGCCAATACAGTATTTGGTCTAGTGACAGGTTTTTATGGGTACTTTTAGATGATCTAAACAAGCATATGCATGTTTTTCAGATTTTTATTTTAGGAAAACCTGAAGGTTTGCATTGTTTCGGTGTTAGCATACAAAATAAAGTGAAAGAATCAATATTGCATTTGAACCACTTCCTTCCTGGTGGGTTCATGTGAAAAGATAGGTTGGCTGATTCCTAGAATTCCACCAGCCCTGAAATAACCTCCAGGTTCTGGTTATTGTTGAAAAATTCCACAGTGATTCCTAGGAAGGAAGCTGGTCTGCTTGGCCATCAACGTCCGGGGGGAGGCGGTATCGGTTCCTTGGCGACATCTGTCACTGCTCTGGACGCCAGAGAGTTGCATTGCTACCAAGTTTCATACCAAATATTTGGAAGGATGGTACTAAATCTAAAACCAAATCTTAGTTTTTATTAAATTCATGGAAAGGCTAATATATTCCAACAATAATTATTACATATAGTTAATTAATCACATATTTATTTTAATGTAAATATTTTTATGTTACTGTTCTGAGTCAAATTCTAAAGAAAAAATAAATATTTCTTTGTGGAAATCCTAACATTTTTGCATTTTCTTAATTAGTTAAAATCCCTTTCAGGAAGAGATTTCTGTTGCACTGCTTACTTTTCGAAGGTAATGTAACTTCTTAAGGCATCTAATATGAATTTCTTAACAACAACAAAAATTTTTTTGCTAATAGGAAGCATGCTATATAACATTTATATATATTGAAAAATGATCACCACAGTAAAAGAACCATCACCTTACATGTAGAACTTTTCTTTCTTGTAATGAGAATGTGTAAGACCTACTCTTGCAGTGGCTTTCAAATATACAGCTAAGGCATCTGTGTATAGTAGGGACATACCTCATTTTATTGTGCTTCACAGATAATGTGTTTTTACACATTGAAGGTTTATGGCAACCCTGTGTCACACAAGTCTCTTGGCACCATTTTTCCAATAGCATTTGCTCACTTTGCGTCTCTGTCATACTGTGGTAATTCTTGTAGTATTTCAAACTTCATTATTATGTTTGTTGCAGTGATCTGTGATCAGTGATCTTTGATGTTACTGTTGTGTTTTGGGGCACCACGAACTGCACCCATATAGGATGGTGAGCTTAATCAGGAAATGTCTGTGTTCTGACCAGTCCATTGACCATCCATGCCTCCATCTCTCTCCCGCTCTTCATACCTCCCTATTCCCTGAGACACAATATTGAAATTAGGCCAATTAATAACCCTAACAATGGCCTCTATGTATTCAAGTGAAAGGAAGAGTTACATGTCTCTCACTTTAAATCAAAAGCTAGAGATGAGTGAGAAAGACCTGTCAAAAGCTGAGACAGGCCAAAGCTAGGCTTCTCATGCCAAATAGCCAAGCTGTGAATGCAAAGGAAAAGTTCCTGAAGGAAATTAAAAGTGCTACTGAAGTGAACACACAAAAGATAAGCACAGCAGCCTTATTGCTGATATGGAGAAAGTTTCAGTGGTCTGGACAGAAGATCGAACCAGCCACAACATTCCCTTAAGCCAAAGCCTCATCCAGAGCAAGGCCCTAACTCTCTTCAATTCTATGAGGGCTGAAAGTTGGAAGCTAGCAGGGGTTGCTTCATGACGTTTAAGGAATGAAGCCATCTCCATAACGAAACTGCAAGGTGAAGCAGCAGGTCCTGATGTAGAAGCTGCAGCAAGTTCTCCAGAAGATCCAGCTAAGATCATTCATGAAGGTGGCTCCACTAAACAACAGATTTTCAGTGAAGACAAAACAGCCTTCTATTAGAAGAAGATGCCTTCTAGGACCTTCAGAGCTAGAGAGGAGAAGTCAATGTCTGGCTTCAAACTTCAAAGGACAGGCTGACTCTTGCTCGGGGCTAATGCAGCTGGTGACTAAGTGTTGAAACAGTGTTCATATACTATTCTGAAAATCCTAGGCCCTTAAGAATTCTGCTAAATCTACTCTGCCTGGGCTTTGTAAATGGAACAAAGCCTGGATGACAGCACATCTGTTTACAACATGGTTTGCTGAATGTTTAAGCCCACTGTTGAGACCTCCTGCTCAGAAAAAAAGATTCCTTTTGAAATATTACCGCTCACTGACAAGGCACCTGGTCACCCAGGAGCTCTGATGGAGATGTACAATGACATGAATGCTGTTTTCAAGCCTGCTAACAAAACATCCACCCTGCAGCCCATGGATTGAGTACTCATTTCAACTTTCAAGTCTTATTAAGAAATGTATTTCGTCAGGCTACAACTGCCGTGGATGGTGATTCCTTTGACGGATCTGGGCAAAGTTAATTGAAGACCTTCTGGAAATCACCATTCCCGATGCCATTAAGAACATTCTTGGGGCACCCAGGTGGTTCACAGTTGGTTGAACGTCCAACTCTTCAGCTCAGGTTTTAACCTCAGGGTCGTGAGTTCAAGCCCCACGTTGCACTACATGCTGGGCATGGAGCCTACTTAAAAAAAAATTAATGATCCATGGAAGAGGTCAAAATAGCAATAGGAACAGCAGTTTGGAAGAAGCTGATTTAACCTTCACAGATGACTTTGAGGGGTTCAAGACTTAAGGAGTAAGTGCAGATGTGGTAGAAATAGCAAAAGAATTAGAATTAGAACTGGAGCCTGGAGATATATCTGAATTGTTATAATCTCAGGATAAAACTTTTAACGGATGAGGAGTTGCTCCTTATTGGTGAGCAAAGAAAGTGGTTTCTTGAGATGGAATCTACTCCTGATGAAGATGCCGTGGAAACTGCTGAAATGACAACAAAGAATTTAGAAATTACATAAACTTAGTTGATAAAGCAGCGGCAGGGTTTGAGAGAATTGACTCCAATTTCAAAAGAAATTGTGGGTAAAATGCTATCAAACAGCATCAAATGTTAGAGAAATTGTTCGTGATGAAAGGAGGAGTCAACTGATACAGCGAACTTCATTGTCTTATTTTAAGAACTTGCCCCGGCCGCCCCAGCCACCCCAGCCTTTAGCACCCACCACCCTGATCAGTCAGGAGCCATCGATTTCGACAGCAAGACCCTCCACCGGCAAAAAGATTACAACTCGCTGAAAGCTCAGATGATGGCTAGTATTTTTTAATTAAGGTATGTACATTTTTTAGATATAATGCTGTTGCACACTTAACAGACTACCGTATAAGCATTTATATGCACAGGGAAACCAGAAAACTCATTTGACTCACGTTATTGCGATGTTCTCTCTGTTACAGTGCTGTGGAGCTGAGCGTGCACCATCTAGAAGGTAGGCCTCGCCATGCTGTACGTCACTTCCCTGTGACTTCTTTTATAACTGGACATTTGTACCTTCTGACTCCCTTTACCCATTTCACCCACCCCCTCCCCACCCTTCACCTTGGACAACCACCAGTCTCTTACTGGTTTTATCTATGAGCGTGGTTGTTGGTTTCTCGTTTTTACATTTCACATACAAGTGAGATCACACAGTATTTGTCTTTCTCTGACTTTGCCTTCAAGGTCTATCCATGTCACAAATGGCAATATTCCGTTCTTTTTTTATGGCTGAATAATACTTCATTGTGTATGTGTGTGTATATACATATGAAAAGATATATACAGAAAATGTATAAAAATATATGTGTATATAGGTACACATATTTGTATATACACATGTCTATATACACATATATATTCTTGTAGTTTTATTTTTAAATCTTTGAGGAACCTCCACACCATTTTCCACAGTGGCTGCACCAGTTTGCTTTCCCACCAGCACAGCACAAGGGTTCCCTTTTCTCCACATTCTCACCAACACTTGTCTTTCTGATAATAGCCATTGTAACAGGTATAAGGTGATATCTCATTTGTGGTTTTGATTTGCATTTCCCTGATTGGGGATATTGAGCATCTATTCATCTATCTGTTGGCCATCTGTGTATCTTTAGAAAAATGTCTATTCAGATCCCCTGCCTAATTTTTATTTGGGTTTTTAGTTTCTGCTATTGAGTTATAGGAGTTATTATTTTTTTAAAAGATTTTATTTATTTGAGAGCGAGGGCACAAGCAGGGGGAAAAGCAGACTCCATGCTGAACCCTGGGATCATGACCTGAGCCGAATGCAGATGCTTAACTGAGCCACCCAGGCGCCCTGAGTTATAGGAGTTTTTATTTTTAAAAGATTTTTATTTATTTGACAGGGAGAGCACAAGCAGGGGGAGCCACAGGCAGAGGGAGAGTCAAGCAGAGGGAGAGTGAGAAGCAGGCTCCCTGGCTGAGCAGGGAGCCTGACATGGGGCTCTTGATCCCAGGACCCTGGGACCATGACCTGAGCTGAAGGCAGACACTTAACCGACTGAGCCACCCAGGCGCCCCTATAGGAGTTTTTAAATATATTTTGAATATTAACCCCTTAGTAGATACGATTTGCAAATACTTTCTCCCATTCATCAGGTTGCCTTTTCACTTTTTGTTGGTTTCCTTTGCTGTGCAGAAGCTTTTTAGTTTGATAGTCCCGCTTATTCATTTTTGCTTTTGGGGTATGATTCAAAAAATCACCAAGATAGATGGCAAGGAGCTTACTGCCTATTGGTTTCAGGTCTTACATTCAAGTCTTTAATCCATTTTGAGTTAATTTTTGTGGGTGTAAGACAGTGATCTAATTTTCCCAACAGCATTTACTGAAGAGACTGTCTTTTCTCAATTATTTATTCTTGCCTCCTTTGTCATAAATTAACTGACCATACATCCATGGGTTTATTTCTAGGCTCTCTATTCTGTTCTGTTGATCCAGAGCATACTGTTTTGATTAGTAAAGATTTGTAATATAGTTTGAAATTAGGGCACGTGATGCCTCCAGCTTTGTTCTTCTTTCTCAAGGTTATGTTGGCTATTTGGGGTCTTTTAGGGTTCCATACACATTTTAGGATTTTTTTTTTTTTTAAGATTTTATTTGAGAGAGAGAATGAGAAACAGCACAAGAGGGAAGAGGATCAGAGGGAGAAGCAGACCCCCCGCTGAGCAGGGAGCCTGATGTGGGACTCGATCCCGGGACTCCAGGATCATGACCTGAGCTGAAGGCAGTCGCTTAACCAACTGAGCCACCCAGGGGCCCCAGGATTGTTTAATTTTTTGTAAGATTTATTTGGTTAGGGGGAGAGGGGCAGAGAGAGGAGTCTTAAGCAGACTCCACGCTGAGCACGGAGCCTGAGGCGGTGATCAATCTCATAACCCTGAGATGAAACCAAGAGTTGGTTGCTATTCCCAGGCACCCCTTAGGATTGTTTTAAAATATGCCATTGGAATCTTGAGAGATTGCACTGATTCTCTAAGTTGCTTTGGGTAGTGTGAATATTTTAATATTCTTCCAATCTGTAAACATGGAGTAGCTTTCCATTTATTTGTCTTCGTTTTCCTTCGTTAATCTGAGAGTTTTCAGTGTACAGGTCTTTCACGTCTTTAAATTTATTCCTGGGTATTTTGTTCTTTCTGATGCCATTGTAAATGGGATTGTTTTCTTAATTTCTCTAGTTTCTTTAGTTTGTGCGTGTACAGAAATGCAAAAGATTGCTGTATACTGATTTTGTGTCCTGTAACTTTACTGAATTAGTACCAACATTTTTTGGTCTTTAGGGTTTTCTATATATAACGCCATGTTCTCTGCAAATACTGACAGCTTTACTTCCAGACTTACAGCCTTTTCTTTTTCTTGCCTAATTGCTCTGGCTAGAACTTCTAATACTGTGTTAAATAACTTAAAATTTGACATTAAAAGCAAAGTGGCCCCAAGAAAGAAGTTTAAATGTTGAACACTGAGTTCGTGGACCAACTCCCTTCTTTTTATGGAGCCCCCTGTGGGTAATGGAGGCATCAGAAACAGTTCGAAGTTACTGCTGTGGAACAGAACTCAAAACTTAAGAGGTTCAAACAGGGGGCGCCTGGGTGGCTCAGTCGTTAAGCGTCTGCCTTCGGCTCAGGTCATGATCCCGGGGTCCTGGGATCGAGTCCCACATCGGGCTCCCTGCTCGGCGGGAAGCCTGCTTCTCCCTTTCCCACTCCCCCTGCTTGTGTTCCCTTTCTCGCTGTGTCTCTCTCTGTCAAATAAATAAATAAAATCTTTAAAAAAAAAAAAAAAAAAAAAAAAAAGAGGTTCAAACAGTAATCATTTCTTTCATGGTTTCTATGGATTAGGAATGTAGGAAAGGTTCTCCTTGGCAGTTCTGACTCAGGGTATCTGATGCATTTGCAGTTACAGTGGCTAGAGCCAGAGTAGCAGGAGGTTAGAACACTAGGGACTGGCCAGGCATTTCTCTCTGCTTGTCGTTTCAGGGTCTGTGTGGGCTGGTTTGGGCTTCATCACAGAATGTGGCTTCAGGGTGTTTTTTTAATGTGGTGACACACGGACTACCAGCCTACATAGCTTGTATGTTCTAACAAACCAGCTGTAAGCTGTGTTGCCTTTTATGATGTAGCTTCGGAAGTCTCATAGCAGTACTTTTGTCATATTAACTAGTCACTTCTTGATCTAGGCAATGTCAGACTTTACTGATCTTTTACAACTGCCACATCTACCCTCAAGAAGCCCATCTGGCATGGGAGGCCAAGACTAGTCCAGATACCACCACCAAGAGAATACCAAAAGGTAAGCTGCCCCAGGTAGAAGCCATGGGACGTCACGGAGGGGAGTAAGGGAAGGCACTGGTGGAGGTGACCTTTGAGCTGATTCTTAAACTGGACTGACATTTTTGAAGTAATAAATGGTTGGTGAACAGTGAGTGATTACTTGATTGCAACCATAAGTGGCTCAAGGGAAGGAGTGAGCAGAGGCCAGAAACGTGAGCCAGATCAAAGAATGCCCAACTAAGCTTTGGCGGGGCGGGGTGGGGGGCGGGCAGGCAGGGAGCACATGGGCAGAAAAGTAATGAAGTTTCCTCTCCCCTCCAGACCTAATTACCATAGGAGAGATGGCAGATTTTCCTTCTTGCTAATACCTACCCTTCTCCTGAGCGGTATTACAGGAGTTTGCATGAGTCTCCAACTTGGAAATATCAGGTAACTATAAGCAGATTTGACTTGGCTTTATTAGTTGCTCGAACCATTGCCTGAATGGAGCACAGTGTCTTAGTGGTACCTATTGTGTAGATCAGTATGGTCCAGAACTTTCTGTGATGATGGAAACGTTCTGTGCTGTGCAGTTGGGATGCTACCTAACCGTGGCCATTGAGCGTATGAGATCTAGGGCTAGAAATGTACTTTTATTTAAATAACCACATGTGCTTAGTGTATTGGCCAGTAAGGCCTAGTTGAAGGATTTGACAAGTGAAATAGGAACAGAGTTGCTAGGGCTGGCACAGACCCCCATGTGTACTGTGGGAACCCAGAGTAATGGGACTAGCCACACAGTAACACCACCCTGATTCAGGTTTACTGACTGAATCTGAAGGAATAATATATAGCCAGGGAGACCCCTGTTGAAAAATACTATCCAAGACCTTGAACTACGGGACGGTGGCAAGAGCCAGCCAGGAGAAAATGTCTGGGCTGGTGAGGGGATTCCCAGCTCTATCTCAGCTGGGCAACGAGAGGTTAATTTTTAGCCACAGAACTTCCTTTTTCAAATGGAAACTTCCACAGAACCCTACTATCAATTGTTGTAACTTGGAGCTCTCTGAGTTCGAGGCAGGGGTGGACACTCAGTGGCTGTGCCTCTGCGGTCCTAGAAATCCTAGAAATGGTAACAGGAAATTCTTCATCCCTTAAAAATCTCTCTCCAAGCTGCAGCAGGTCTTGAAACCAGAAACCAGTAATGAAGCTTCATGTTTGTTTGAAACAAATTTATTCTCAGAATAATGCACAAAAGTAGAGGTTGAGGCTACCTTTGGGAGGCTTCCCCCCCTCCTCTCTGGCTGCCGGGGAGAACAGAGCTGAAGGAAACATGCAATCACAAACAATGATCAACTCTAAAGACAAAAAAGGTTTGGTCCAAAAGAACTCAACATAATTAATCCAATTACTGTGAAGAGCTTCACTGAGTAGGATTAAGATCTTGCAGATGTAGTGTTTCCACAGCGTGGCTCTTCAGTGCACCAAGGGGGCCTGCTTGAGGGAGATGAGGACAGAGCGCATGCGGGAGACGTCTTTGGCCTGCTTGCTGGACTTGGGGTTAAAGTCACACAGCCGGGCCACCCGTTCCCACTCAGTGCCTGGGGACGACTCGTCTATGTCGTTTACAAAGGCTTCTTCTGCTGCCCTGGAAGCAACAACACAGTATGTTGGTTTAATGCAGAATCCCCCCTGTGAGCTACCTGGCGGCTGCCTTGTGACAGAAGTGACTGCCTCTTCATGCCTGACTTCCTGGCGTTCTGGTTTTCCAAAGAGGAACAGCCCCTGGCTCAGGTCAGACTCGGGAGCAGACCTGTGGCCAGTTCTCCTAGGCACGGGGTGCCCGGACCGCTGTGTAAAATGTTGGAATACAGGTGTTTGGTTCAGGGCTCACTCTCTGTCAATACAGAGCGTTAGAAAAGCAAGTCCTTAGCCAGCTATGCACTGCCTTCAGCAACAGGAGCAAAGCAGCAGGCCGGTCAGGAATGTGCACAGGAGTTGATGGTGGGCTCTACTGAGGTTCAAGTGAATTGAGAGGCTTCTCAAAAGCCCACCGGTCATTGCACGATAGCCTCTGGATTTATTCCTAAGACCGTAGAGAAACAGGGCAAATCAAAAGGAATTCAAGACACAGCTCCCATGCGAGCAGGCAGGAGAGACTAAAGCCATTCTGGAACATTCTCCAGTTGAGCTGCAAGTTGGCCATTTTCCCTCCAGCCAGGTGCCTTGGGCCACTCAGGGCGCGCTCTGGAAGGGCTGGGTGCCCGATGGCTAAAGAGCCCATCAGTGTTAGCTGCTTTTGCGTAGGAGGCTGCTCCAACATTCTTTCCCATCAAGGTCAGCCCACCCCCAGCTGGGAACTGGTGGGAGCTACAGCCCGAAAGGACAGCGGAAAGAGGCGGGAAGACACACTATATTCATCTACTCCAACAAGCATCACGGGCGAAGCGAAAGCGATGGAGATGACCGGTCTGTGGGGACGGAGGGGTGGCACGCTCACAAGGATGGCCGTGGCAAACACTGCTGCAGCCCGAGCCACTACAACACTGCGACTTCATGGCACACACAGGGGCAGTGAGAAAGGTTTACTTAACTGTTCTAGGCTGTAGCAAGGATGGTTTATGTTTGTGCTTAAAGGTGAAGAGAAGAAAAACGAGAGAAACTTTAGGTCAGATAGAGAAAATGAGAATGAGCTCAATGCAGATGGTCAGTAAGCTAGACATGCCCTTGCCACTCCATCTACACCTGGGAACGTGCAGCTGGCTTTGCTGGGCCACCCTGCTGCCCAGCAAACCCAGACTCGACCTTTCCAGTCTCCAGTTCTACTCCAGAGAGAATGTGCAAAAATCAATCCAACAGCACCTGTAAGTCCAGCATTTCACAAATCTCATTGCAAATGCATCTGGGGACCCAGGAAACCCCACTCTGTATTCTAAAGGGATGAACATGAGGTCACAGGCCCCAAGATAAGATGCTCTATAGACATGAACCTGTCGTCCACCCTTCCCGCCTATGGTCCTTCCTTCTACCCTCATCTCCCTTACATCAAAATGGAGTCCTAATTTTTGAGGAAACAGCAAGCACTGTTTCCAAGTCGTCTTCAGCAATACTGCTTTGAATACAAGAGTCCAATGTTTTTCCAGAAAAGATGCAGTTTTCTTTGGGGGAAAAAGCCATCGTGGCCTATCAGACAGCTTTGGCTATCCCGACCTTAAAAAGCTGGGGCTTCTTTGTGCCCAAGTGGGCAATTTCCCACATCAATAGAGAAACACAGGATTCCTCCCTGCCGCCCCCCATGAGACAACCTCCTCTGCTCCCAAGGGAGAAGCAACCAACCCCACATGTTCTTCAAAAGAACCAAATGTAGAAAGTGCTGCCCCACCCTGGCTCCCAAGCAGGGGACAGCAGTGGTGGCAGCAACAGCTTACGAGCCCACCCCAGTCCCAAAGCCTTCCCCAACCAGGTCACAAATGACCCACACTTTAAAAGGGAATCCACTTCCTTCCCTCCAAAACCCCAAATGTGGAAAAAAGGCTCTCAGAGTTAAAGGGAGTCACGCTTCTACACGACAGTCGATGGATCATATCCCCAACCTTCTAACTCTTAGGCAGTCCCCAGAGTGCCAGTTTGAAATAATTTAGAAAGCAGAACAACTTGTGACATAACAGGAGCATTAACTCTAAACAAAAGGAATCAAAACAGGAAAAAGAATTAGTTTTGCAACATACACATAACCAATCACGTCAGCGAAGGGTTGTTTGTAGAAAGCTTCATCTGCCACCCTAGACAGCAAGAGGTCCAAAAGGCAGGCAAGCAGGCAGGAAAAAAGAGAGAACATTGAGAAGCAGAAACATCTCAAATCCATAATAGAGGCACGACTGTGCTCTGGGGCGCTGCTCCCAAGGCTGAGTGCTCACCCAGGGAGGCTTCCATTCAAGCGCTGGAGACTCCAGCGGGCAAGGTTCCCCGTGGGCCTACCCCTGGGGATTCTCCTGGGTGAGCCCTGCCAAGCCCTTCCCGGTGTCATCCCTGCCACAGCGAGCAGGTCTTGGCACCCACTTCCAGGGAAGCCCTTGTAGAGCTACTGCGTCCACTTGATCCAATCCTCAACCCCAGCAACCTAGGGTACCGTGTTCTCATCGACACTGTACAGGTAACAGGAGGCCTGGGCAGGAAGCCCCTTGCTCAACCCCAGGTGGCAGCAGAACTCCCAAGCAAGCCTGCCTGGCTCTTTTCACCGGACAGTAATGCTGCCCCCCCAGCTGGCGGGTGCTCAGGAAGCCAGGCCACCTTCCTGCAGCCTCCGGCAGGCTCACAAGGCATCACGCTACGCGCCAAAGCCACTTCTGTCTTGGATTTCCGACTCCTGCTTCCCCGCCCTGACTGAATAGGATCACTTTTCAGTCATCTGGGAACAGATGTGGTCATTTCAAAATCCCCACCTTAGAGGAAAAAGTTGCTGGATGCAAGTGGTCTGGTGCAAAGAACTGCAGCCAAGAGTCCTGGCTCTGGCCTCCTGTCTGTCCCTGAAGATGCTGGTCTGCTCAGTCCATGCCAGATGGGACTGCTGTCACAAGGTGCAGACCTTCACTTGCCAGATGGGACTGCTGTCACCAGGAACCAGACCTTCACTTAACCCTAACTCATACCATACATGGGTCAAAATGGCAGGCCTCTGGGACAAAAAGGAAAGCGGGGGGGGGGGGGGGGGGCATGCTGGGTGGAAGAGTTTCCAACCCAGGGGACAGGCTGGCTTAGACCTTATTGGCCCGGCCAGCCCACCACAACCACTGTGGGTGGGCAGGGAACCTCCCTCCAGGAGTTTTACCCTGTCCTTCGCCAGGTTGGTTTGGAGCAGAGAAGTAGAAGGGACGTTTTTAAGGATGATCATGCCTGCTTATTAACCTAGGCTCCCTTATGTGAAGGGAAATTCTAGTAATTTTATTTCAGTTTATTTTTATTTAAACTCACACACAGCCTTCCTTCTTTCCCATTTTGGTTTATACATAGGTGGTGGTTTGTGGAAATTTAAAGAAAGCAAAAAGAACAGCCTGATTGTAACTCTAAGTCAGCAGGAAAATAGTTGTTTGTGGAGAGAATGAGTGGGTGGGAAAGGAAAAGCAGGCCAGCTTGTAAACCCATAATCCTTTTAGTTTACACAAAGGGCTAAACGTAATCGATTTCAAAGAAAATAAAGGTTGAATGACTACGGTCCAAGGCATCACTAAGACAACAAAAGCTTGAATGGCAGGCTTCCACTCCTTTGCAGCTAGCCGCCCCAAGACTATGGAACTGTCAGTGACAGCATAGCCCCATCCAGGTATAGACAAATGGAGCAAATGGGAAACCATGATCACCATAGGCGGCCCCTCTAGCTGTTTGTTCTTCACTCATCAGAGGGGCCTGAAAGCAGCAATCCTCAGGGAAGCCTGAGGGAAATGGGGGGAGGAGGAGGAACGTGGGCCTGACCACAGGGTGCTCAAGCAGTGACCCACATAAATAGTGCCCAGTGGGCGTGGAAAAAATATTTGCCATCACAGAGAATCAGGGGTTCCCCAAACTTTTATAAATCTTGAAAGATAAAAAGTTAGCACCAGAGCTCCCTGTAAAAGGGGTAATGTTTCTGTCACGGTTTGCAAGGACACATGGTCTGGGTCTGGTCTCAGGTCCACACTGTTCTGACTGGCTCCCATGGAGTGTCCCCCACCCCCCAACAGGCTGTCACTAATCATTCACGGCTCTTGTGCAGCAATATTTGGGCCCCGAGTTGGGGTAAAAGGAAGGAGATGCCAACTGCAGAGGAACACCAGACTACAGATGCCATGAAGGCAAGATCTGCTGACTGTCATTCGCCCACTGCCCAGCACCATGCCCGGCACAGAGGTGCTCCTGAGGTTTTAGGTCAGGGCATCTGAAGGCAGGAGGCCTTTGCTCCCCACCACATCTCTTCTCTCAAACTGCTTGCTCTGCCTTAGCTCTGTAGGCCACTTAAACATCCAGCTGCTGCACAAGTCATCCAGAGGAAGACTGATACTTGAAAGGAGCACTCTATTTTCTCCTGAGATTCACTATTTACCTATAGACAGCTCTTTTACATATATAAAAGGACTTACTCCTTTAGTCCCATGGGACGCCATTTAGAGAGTCAAACATGGAGGGCGAGTGGTCAGCGATGTCAAAATCTCCAGGGGAGGGGCTGTACCATTGGAAGGAGTCCCCGACGGTTGCTCTAAATGGCTCCTGCCCCAGCCCATGAAGAGTAAGTGGGATAAAGCGTCAAAACCATCCCTTCTCTCCTGGAACCCTGGTGACAAAGGCCAGTGTGCCACTAGTTTGACACGGAGTCTGCCCTATGCCTCAAGGTTTCTGCAAGGCAAGGGACCTGGTTTGGGAAAAGCTGTGCATTCTCTGTGAGTGGCAAGTGTAAGTCTCTTCCCCTGTCTGGAACTTGGGAGGTTCATCTAGGAGACCACCCTACTCAACATTCTACAGTTCTAAGGTACCAAAGCCCTAAATCCAGGCCTGGAGGGACTAAACCTTGGAGACTGAGCTCCTTAAAACAGGTGTGCTTATTCGCTCCAAGGACAACGGATGCTGTATAGAGACAGCTCCTTTCTTTACAGAAGGGATACAGTTTAGCAAAACTGCATTAGAAGCCTATTCCTGACAGGCATTTTTTAAGTCTGAGAATCTATATGTCAACCTGTTTACCCATCAGGGATCCTGAACAGGGAGGGTCAGCCTGGTTTTACCAAGTACTTCAGGGCAGAATGACTCATGGGCAACTTGCTAGGATCAAAGGGGCCTCACACAGGGCTTGCACAAAGCACCCACTCATCTCCCTTTAGAGATCTGAACTTGTACCTGGGGTCAGTCATCTTGAAGGAGCAGAGAATAAAGCAGCCTGGATCTGTCGGCACTTGAAACTGATCACAAGCTCAGGAGAAGCCCTGGTAGCAAATGCTCCCCCAAGCAACTCGACACCAAGAGCGGAGAGCAGTCCCCACCATACTTCTTACAGAGCTTCCCCTGTAATTGGAGAATACGTCCCCCAGCGGACACAGGCTCCAGCCTGCCATCCGAGGGGCAGCTGACAGAACCCAGGCTGGCCAGCCAGAGACCGGTAGCTGAAGCCTACCGCCCAGAACAGTCCATCTCTTCTGCTATCGTTGCCCTCCAATAAACAACACACTCTGGCTGGCAAAGCAGTCCATTCCCTCTTTGCTGACACATTTCCAAGAGCTACCAGAGGCAAGAGCACTTAAACCAACTTCTGCCTCTGAGGGCAGGAACCTATGGCTCTTTGCCCCTGAAAATTGCAAACACCCCCGGCTCAGTCTAGCCTTTCTTTCCAGTGAGGTAGTGGAGTGACCACGGAGTGAGAGTTGGGCTCTGAATCCAGCAGGGCAGGCGAGCCACTGGTCTCCATCAGGGCCAGCAGCACTGCCTCTACCTTTCTCTGAGCTACTTCCAAGTGGACTTCAAGCGTGGAGTAGTCCAGACCGCAGATGCCGGTCAGTGGGGGTAGGAGAATGAACTTGGTTTCTCCCCAAAACTACTTCACCTTCCGTGAGTGAGTCCGTTCTGAAGAGCATTTTAAAAAAGTCAACTCAGGTTTTTCCTAGACACAGAAGTACCCAGAGAATCCTTAATTCTGAAGTCACCATGTTGGAACATCCTTGGCTACCTAATTACACACCCGGTTCCTGCTACCAGACCCCTTTGTAAAGCAGCTTTCAGAGGGCAGGGTTGTATTTAGGGGATGCAGCATGACCAAGTCTATAATCATCTCGAAAGTACTGAGATCCTGGTATGTTCATGAAAGTGGCCCTTCATTTCAGGGTTACATTTCCACATGTGGATTTGATCCATGAAATAACCTTCCCTTTTGCCATTTCATACTATTACAAGCAATACAGATTAACCAAACTCTTCGCTGAAGAGCTAAAGTCACTACAACTGGGGTGGCTAAAGGAAAGGCTGAATTAGGCTCCCAAGACCCAAGAGATTTGCAACCTTTATGTTTCAAGTACTTTTTCCAAAACCTGCAGAGACACTTCACATACTACAACGGGCAGCACATGTCAGAACTATTCTGGCCGTCAGAAATGAATGTGATTCAACCTTGGAGAACAAGCGGTGCCAGCAGCCCCGGGGACTGACCTGTTGTTTGCTTTTGTTTTCTGTAGCTGCTCGTCCTGCCTCGCATACCACTCTTCTAGCTCCTTTATTGCTTTTTCTTTCCACTCTGCTTCTTGCTTCCGAGAATTGGCATCTTTGAAGGGAAGGAAAAGAAACACAAATGAAGCAAAACACAAACTGAAGTTTGCTCCATCAATGTCTTTTGGTCTTATTAAACTTACGGTGTGTGTGTATATGTGTGTGTGTTGGAGGGATAATAATCAGAAGGGAAGAAAAAGTTCTATTTCCCTATTTGTACATCCAGTCTCTGATCCCAGTTGTTTGACATTCTCTCTCAGTCCACTGACATCTTAGTGGATTCACCAGTTTTGGGGTTTCTTTTCAGGGTAGGGGAGAGGAGGATACATAGATAAAAGCCTTCGGGGGCACCAACTAGGGAAAAAGCAGTTAAGAGAATTTTTTTTTTTTTTTTTTAAGATTTATTTGAGAGAGCGCATACGCACAAGAGTGGGGAGTTGGGGGGGGCAGAGGGAGAGAAAGTCTTAAGCAGACTCTGCCCTGAGATCACTGGCTAAAATCAAGAATCAGGTGCTCCACCGACTGAGCTACCCAGACGCCCAGGAGAATTCTTTAATAATTATGCTGCCAATATTAGTTCAGGGTGGACCGTTGATATTAGATAATCTTTGAACAAAATCTTCTTAGAAAATGTAAGACCCCAGCTCTGCCAGTCGATGGTTTTGTAAAACACAAGGTGGCACTCTCTTAACTGAACATGGTAGAAGCACTTCTATGAAGCAGAAAGCTATTGTTAAAATTACCAGAGGTAGAGAGGATTCAGGTACCAGGGAACAGAACATAGATGTTAAAAGTTGAGGGGGACCACAAAACATCTATTCCTTCTTAGACTGCAGAGTGAGTTTGTGGCAGAGCTAGGACAGAACTAAAAAAGCTCTAACGGAGAGGACTGCAGGGGGTTGAGGTGGGGTGGCAGAATCATTAGCAGTTATCCAGAAGGTTCTAGAATGAGAGAGAAAACAAACTTAGCAAGTTTGCCAGACTGGATTTTCAAATATGACAACTAGCTAAGAAGACCAAGTCAATAGATAGCAAGAGACAGAAATGCACATCCTAGCTACCGCTGCAGGTGACATGTGAAGTTACCCTGATATTTCACCTGAAACACATTCTTAAGCATCCTCTCTGGCAGATGTTTTGTAACAGACCTCTCCCTTTAATCTTTACAACAATCCCGAGAAGGTAAACTCTAGACCCATATTCAGCACTGAGAAAAACTATAGCTCAGAAAGTTTGAGTAACCTTTCCTAACGTAAGTAGCAGAGCTAAGATTCAAACCCAGGTCTGACTTTGAAGCTTACACATTCTTTCTTCATTAAGCTGCCTCCGAAGGGAGGGATGGAAAGGAAAACCTAGAAACAATCACAAGATGTGACTAGAAGGTGGTCACCAGTGATCCAGACAAGAGTCGGGACAGCGCAGAGCCAGAGCCCAACCTGTAACTAGCTCACATCCCGGAAGAGTAGAAAGCAGTGGTGGTGGCGGCGAGTGAAGGGAAGAAATGAAGCACTTTAGGGCATTTTTAGGTCCTTTCCAAGAATGTCTTACAGTAACAACCTGCAGAAGGCTGTGTCTGTAACTACTGAAATAGCTTGTTAGCAGCTAGAAACTCCCCCCAGAGTTTCAGATGATAAAGAACCTGTTACCCTGTTATTTAACTTACCAGAAGGTGACCTATCAATTTTTTTTTTTGAGAGATGGGGGGGGACCCACAAAGGGAGAGAGGGAGAGTCTTGAGGCTTCACGCCCAGCGTGGAGCCCAACATGGGGCTCAATCTCACAACCCTGAGATCATGACCTGAGCCACCCAGGCGCCCCACTCAGAATTCTTTTACTCGGATTTCCACTGATGAGTCAAGTCTATACAGCAGACTTCTAGTATGTGTCCGTGGCATTAAGTAGAAGTGGAATGGAGGGCGCTAGGATGCGGCGGGAGATGCTGTGGGCTGGCAGCACATGTGGACGAGAAACCGAAAAATACTAAGGTTAAAATCTCCTTTTCAAAAGTGATGAAATCACTTCTGAAACACTACTTTTTGATTGGAGAGTATTTCCTTTCTTTGTAAAGATTTTTTTTAAGTTTTAATATACTAGGAATAAAATAGCACAGAAATTTCTCTCTGAAAAATCTGAATAAAAATTGTAACCATCTGCACAGATTGTAGTTACTGCATAAAACCATCCCTTTAAATTGTCTTCTTGCTTTTACAGATTTTTGAAAAAAGTGACACTGGCAATAAGAATTTAGAATTCTGGGACATCTGGGTAGCTCAGTTGGTTAAGCGTGTGCCTTCGGCTCAGGTCATGATCCCAGGGTCCTGGGATTGAGCCCTGCATCGGGCTCCCTGCTCAGCAGGAAGCCTGCTTCTCCCTCTCCCTCTGCTGTTCCCCCCTGCCCCCTGCTTGTGCTATCTCGGTCTCTCTCAAAATCTTTAAAAAAAAAAAAAAAGTAATTTAGAGTTCTTAAATGCTTAGCTCAGTAGGACAAAGATCCAAGTGACAATATGATCTGCATCTGGGCATAAGAAGAGGTAGGGAAGGCTGAAGAGTCCCCTTGGAGAGCAGGGCACACTGATAGCCATCTTCTTGGGCAGTCCTTCTTACTGTCCATGGAAAAGAAAACTCTGAGAACGCAGTCACCAGCTAAGCTGAAAACCACGCACACTGGTTCTCTATATTTAGCATCTTGTGCTTTCTCACAGTTTTTGCAAAGAAAAAAAGAGGAAACTGAAGAAACACCTAGTTCACAGACCAATTTAATTCAATTGCAAAGCCAAATATTTGACTTCAGAAAAGCATCGTAAGAAAACACTTCATGGAATATTCCCAAAGTGCCCAATCTGATCACTGAAGGGGGGGGGGGGGGGGGAGGAGGCAATTTTCCCAGACACCAACATGACCAAAGTGTATTGTCTCCATGGAGAAGATAACTTTGCTAAACTTTGGGTAAAGAGAAAAGATGAAAGTTGGGTTCTGTAACCTGACAAATACTAGTACCAGCAAAGTCCTGCCTCCACCCGCTCAGAAGACACACACAAGGAACAAGCCACGACTAAAGCTACCAGCATCTCATGAAGACAGTTTCCATCTTTGTAAAGCTGCGCTATCCAGTACAGAAGCTCCTAGCCACATGTGGCTACATATTAAAATTAAAAATTCTTTCCCAGTCATACTAGTCACATTTCAAGTGCTTAAGAGCCCCATGTGGCTAGTGGCTACCATACGGGACAGCACAGATCTGTGATACTTCCATCCAAGAAATGCTAGCAGAGAGTGCCATAAAGGGTCAAACAGAAGTGTGCCCTTTGTTCTGAGAGCCACATAAAACTGGGCTGAAAGAGAACCGATTTAGCACTAACTGGGTCCTATTTCTAGGTGTCAGTTAACGCTATTTGAAAAACAAGGAGTCAGTTTTTACTAATTCAGTGGTTCCCATGAAGGACTAATAATGCTGACGTCGTTGGTACACAGAAGAACATCGTTATTTCCAGATATACAATAAAATATTTAAGCATGAAAGAGAGGATCTGAAAGTGGATGAGAAATGTGTATGTATAAAACATACACATACATACATGCTTCATTTACATAAAGATAACCCAATATGGCAAAATGTTTAATCACTGAATCTAAGGGGGTGCACACAAGTTCATTTTACTCTTAACTATTTGGTTTGAAATTTTATTTCAAGTTTTATTAAGTAATCTCTACACCCAGTGTGGGGCTTGAACTCACAACCCCAAGATCAAGAGTTGCACGCTCTACCAACTGAGCCAGCCAGGCACCCGTGTTTGAAATTTTAATAAAAAGCTGAGGAAAGAATACCCCATGGCTTTATCTCCACACGGTGCCATACCTCTGCAACCCACCTACATACAGATACCAAGTCTCCTGATCTTGACCAAAAGCAACAGCCCACGTACACGGTTCTCCACCAAAGGCCAGGCCAGGCCGGCTGGCACTGATCTCAGCGGGACGGCGTACACGACATGCACGGTGGCTGATGGATGGAGCGGTACGGGCTATGAAGCAGGGCGGACGTAAGCTGAGTTCTGACGCCACTGCTTCTTAGCTGTGTGCTTCAAAAACTTTCCTCACTTACAAAAACATACAAACTTAGCTTACAGGGATATTAGAGTAGGAAAATCAAATTGTACATGTTTCCTAACATACTTCACATTTTCTTCTTAAAGCGTTACCTTAAATTCAGCCTAGAAATGATAAATGGACTTTGAAGTCTCTTACTCGGAGACCTTCAAGTTTACACAACACTCTCATAAACACCATCTCAGACGAACCCTGGAGTTGGTAACACTGATCTTACCCCACAAAGAAACAAACTCTACAAGGTTTGAACCACCAAGTGCCCACAGCTGGGAAGAGTTAAGGCTGGGCCTTGAACCTACTCTTTCTTCGCTGCAAGCTCAGGACTCTCCTCTGCTCTGCTCTTCCTGAGGATGCACTTGGTGGTGGCTCTCTGAGCTGCCCTATTCCTCACAAAATGGCCTGTAATTAAGCATCTCCCTGTGGGTGGCCTTGTGACCCCTCAGGCTGAGGAAGAGATCTTCCCAAATACGAGACGAGGACATTATGGCTAATTCCAGTTAAAAAGAGCTAAGAGTCAAGGTCAACTATTCCATTGAAAACAAGACACCCAAAGACAGAAAAAGATTCCTTACCAAGGGCTTCCAAGCGTTCCGTTTGCTCTTCTCTCCATTTACGGATACTTTCAGGCTCTGATTGCAATCGATCCACTTGTGAAATAGCTGCGTAACTGTCTGTTGGACCATTACTCTCCTTAACACAAAAACAATTGTGTTCTATCAGTACCAAACACGCCTTCCTGAAATGCGCTTCATACACGGTAGAACACCCCTGGTTATGTACTGACGGCCACTTTAACATGTTAAAGGATTACCTTAAAAGCAACACCACCACCTTACATGCTCACAGGGAGCTCTCAACATTACTGCACCTAATCCTTACAATCCACAAGGGAGGCAGAGTAGTTGTTAGCCTGCCTGTTAATAACTGGGGATAGAAGTGGGAGAGAGGAAAGCAGGGGAGGTGGGTCATGAACTGACTAGGAAACAGTGTTAATGGTTTTAGTTTCCTCACTTGACACACAGCTTATGTGGGATCTTCAAAGTAACAAAGGTAAATACACTGCACAGCAAGGCCTAGAACCTAAACTTCTAAATGCTATTACATAATGCAGGAAAAAGCACTTAATACCACCTAGCCAAAATAGGGGAATTCTGGGTAAAAAGGAGTCCAAAAGAAAACATGCAGTCACTAGTCACACCAAGGAAAAGAATAAAAAGGCAAGCAAATAGGAGTCACAAGTCGGGGGGGGGGGGGGAGTGCGGGGCAGATTCTTCATAGTAGGTAAGGTCTGACAGCTAATAAACTGATAAAACTCAACTATAATCTTTAGAAAATTTTTCACCTGCTGAACTAGGGAATAAACTCCAGGTTCACCTAATCAGACTATAAAAAGATGGAAGAATTACTGAAAGTATTAGCAACTAACTTAGTGACACTTTCCATGTGTCAGGCACATAAAATTTATCTCCCAAGCAACTTGCAAAGTTTTGATTCTCATTTCACATTTGATAGAGGACTAACCTGAGGCACAGAGAAATGACATGTCCAATTCACAGCTAGTAAGAGGTAGAGCCAGGTTCTGAACCCATTTTGTCTCACTCTAAGGGCTAAACTCTAAACCAGGCACTGGAGACTAGAGTCCAGGCCAGCTGCCTGTTTTTGTAATTAAATTCTACTGGAACACAGCCAGGTGCATTCATTCACGTACTGTCTGTGGATGCTTTCACATCACAGCAAGAGTAGTTTGACACATACACACACACACACACACACAAAAACAGGGCGCCTGGGTGGCTCAGATAGTTAAGCATCTGCCTTCGGCTCAGGTCATGATCCCAGGGTCCTGGGATCAAGCCCCGCGTCGGGCTCCCTGCTCTGCTCTATCTCTCTGTCTCAAATGAATTAAAAAAAAAAAAAAAAAAAAAGAGTAGTTTGACACAGTTACGACAAAGCTTAAAATGTTTACTATCTGGTACTTTACGAAAAAGTTAGTCCATCCTTGGTTTAAACCAATTAGACTAACATCCTTCCTGCCAGTGAACTGGTTGAGGGATGGGCAGAAACCCAGGCATAAGCAAAGCATCATGCTATTTCCCCAGGCTGTAGGGACTACTTCCAGTTGGTCCAGAAGGAAATGCAAGATTTTTCTTGGGTGGTTGGGAGAAGAGGAAAAACCCCCATCTTGTTCTAGATAACATGACAGGCACACGAGAAGCCTGGAAGTGCTGTAGTCATTTGACCACCAAGAAAAAAGCTTGAGCACAAAAATGCACACTTAGCAAGCAGAGCCAAAGTCCTAGGGGAACTGAGTCAGAGTCCTGGTCGAAGGACACTTCAATTATATAAACTGGTAAGACTTTTGTGTTTAAGCTAATCTGAGTTGGGCTGGCAACTCAACGCCTAGTGATACAGAGGGAAAATAATGGCAGTCATCACAAATTCCAACCCCCCCCCCCCCCGCCCTGCCCCAAGACAATCTCAAAGGTTCAAATGCTGGCCCCACCGCATACCATACTTTGTTACTTTTAGACTACTTTGTGCCTCAGTTTCTTCATCTGTAAAACAGGAATAATAGTACAGGTCCCCCAGGTTGTTGAGAGAATTAAAGAGTAAACCGAAACGGGGCCTGACAGTGCATGGCACGCAGTGTTTAAATTAGCCACTGCTATCATCACCACCAAGAAAGCTCATTTCTTGAGAGTAAAGTCAGTAATACTAGGGCCAGGTCAGTAACGTTTTAAAGGAATGATCAGTGTTACTTCTCTTCAAATCCTTCCATTTTAGCAGGTAACATACCCAGTACTAATACATCTAGGCAAGTCAAAGGAGTGGGGTCCTTTCTAGGTCAATCAACTCAAATCACAGGAAAGGAAGACTCAGCCGCTGTCTTTTAACATAATCAGAGTATTCTGTACCTGGTAGTACTCGCCATTCATCACTCCATCCACGGCATCTGCAAGACATAAAATTTCAGTCGGTCAGTAAGGACTAGTCAAATGCCGGCCAAAGCGTTACCGAGTCTAATACAGGTACTGTAAATTATACTAATGCTATCCCTGTGCTATGCACCAGACAGAGCAACGAAGGACTTCCTGTTTAATGAAACCAAGATGTGCTTATACACAAATTACTTCACCAAAATGGAAAAATCTGTACCAAACCCCCAGTTCAAAAGCTTTTTGATCTTCTGCCCTAGAGAGAGAACACATGGATGCCTGGCAGAAGAGTCTCATAGAGCAACAGTGTTTCTCCATGAAAGTTCTGGAGAAGGCAAAGTGGGGCCTGGAATCATTCAGTGAGCCAAGGACATGCAGCTTCATGTTCAAACCAAGGTGCTTTCTTGGGGGTCAGGACTCTCCATCCTGTGCCTGTAGACCTAAGGGTCTACAGTTGAGACTTCCTGAGCTAATTCCTCTAGACCCCTGGAACTAGTCTGGGATAGTAAGATCTGGGCATACCAAATTAAGTCAGTATTTTCAAGGATACAAGTTACAAAAAACTCAAAGTGTGGTGTACGATCCAGTCTTACTGGCACAATTCACTCATGAGCTACATGAGAAAGTCCATTTGAAAAATGTGGAAACGATCTTTTTTAAGTTAAGACCTAGAGACCATCAATCCATATAGCATAAAATGGTGGTCCACAGGCTGAACATATTTAAAACACTATTAAGTCAGAAAATTTCACGAATTCAGGATGTCTAGGTTTTGGGGCAAGGGTAAGCAGACAGAAAATCTGGCAATCTTGGGCCTGCTTGAGAGGAGGGCAGCCTTCACATCCAGCACGCTCTGGTCTATCTGTAAGGACCCCAGCCGCCCCCCCCCTTTTTTTAACCCATTCAGTGTCTCAGTAATTCAGCTGCCCAGTAAGTATGCATCCTAAGCCCTGCCCTGCCCCACAAGCCATCATGAAGAGGCAGTCTGCACAGGGCCACCTGCCATCCTTTCGAAAGCCTTGACAAAGGCACCATTTTTAGCTTCTGCCTACACATTCTTAACTCTGGATTTGTTGGCTGACCCATATTTACTACCTACCATGTAGGACTTCCATTATTTTGTCCAAATTTTTTTTTCAAACTACTTATTTGTCCAATTTCTTTTTTTTCAAACTTATTGCATGGGGTGGGATAGGGAAGATGACAGAAGAGATGCACCTAGTGCTCAAAAACTAATACAAGTATTTGGGGGAGCATATTCAGTTGCTCCTCAGTAAGAAATCCCTTCATCTAGAACCACTAGCACAGACCATGCCCGGCGCGGTGACACCATGCTGGTCGCCCTGAAGACCCTCCAGTAGCCGACCTTCAAGATAGAGATTCTTGGGTCACAGGATATACATTTTAAAAACTTCTAAATACTGACCATTTGCCCCCTTTTAGTGTCTCATTTATATTACTACCAGCAGCACATGACTGCCCCATTTCTCAGACTCTTAGTGATACTAAAGATGGAGTTTTAGGTTTTTAAATTTTTTTTTTTTTTTTAAGATTTTATTTATTTATTTGACAGAGAAAGACACAGCGAGAGAGGGAACACAAACGGGGAGTGGGAGAGGGAGAAGCAGACTCCCTGCCGAGCAGGGAGCCCTATGCGGGACTCGATCTCGGGACTCCAGGATCATGACCTGAGCCGAAGGCAGTCGCTTAACCAACTGAGCCACCCAGGCGCCCCAGGTTTTTAAATTTTTGCTAAGTTGACAGCAGGGAAAAAACTTAGGTGGCTTTGTCCTGCCAATCTCTTTTCTTGTGAGGTAATCATGTAGCTGACGTTTGATTTTCTTCTTTACTGAATTGTCTGAGTTTTGCCCATTTTTCTGCTATCTTTTGATCTCTATTCACTTTGTATTATTATTTGTCCTCTCATATTACAAATATTCCCCCGTTGTCTTTTTTTTTTTTTAAAGATTTTACTTATTTGATAGACACAGTGAGAGAGGGAACACAAGCAGGGGGAGTGGGAGAGGGAGAAGCAGGCTCCCCGCCAAGCAGGGAGCCCGATGTGGGGCTCGATCCCAGGACCCTGGGATCATGACCTGAGCTGAAGGCAGACGCTTAACGACTGAGCCACCCAAGCGCCCCTCCCCCATTGTCATTTTATATGGTTTCTTCTGGTACTAAAAAAACCAAAAATGCCTCTCTTTAATCCACCTGGAATTTATTTTTATGTAAGATAGAAAAGAATGAGATAATTTTGACTCTAGAACTTACAATGGTTAGCATGGCCAGGCCTAGGCCTAAATTCTGGTTAATATATTACATTTAACACACCAACTATCCAGTTAATATATTCCAGCCCAGGGCCATTCCCAATAGGAGAGCCTTTGATCACTACACCATACACAAAACTAGAAGCAATTTTCATCCCATATCTCCTCCTAAGTCACATGCTGCCTGTCCTTTAGGACCAAAGACTCATCCAAACCCACTGGCAAGTGCTTTGAGCTCTTACTAGTTACTGTACTGACATTCAACTGGCCCAAGTCAAAGACCTGCCTGTTGCTACAAAACATACAGAAAGACATCTTAAGACAACTAAGCTAAGCAACCTGATGCTCCAGAAGGAAACTTTCTAGGGCATCTCAGGAACTCCAGAGAGAAACAAGGGCCAGAGTAAGTTTCCAGAGAAGAAATTTTGTCCCGAACCCACCTTCGACTTGCTGTGGTGCCCATCCACTGGAAGTCAAGCAGACGTGGGTTTGATGAATTCCAGTGGAGACGTGTATTAGCTTGCTACCTTAGGAACACTCCTTAACTTCCATGATGCTTTCTTATCTGAAACAGGATGCCACTACTTAGCCTGCAGGTACGGCGTGAATCTGCAGCTACAGAGAACCGGCATGTGGCAAGCATACAGTACTAATTGTCAAGCACGAAATTTCCCTGAACTTTTCTCCACCACTGCTACCAAGAAAGTTACTCTCCTCCTCCAGAAGGCTTTCCCTTAATTCACGTGCCTCTCTTCCTCCTCCAAGGAAAGACTTGTCAGAAACAACAACCAGTGCCTCACTGCCATACTCTCTCCGTAGCTCCTTACTCACCCCTTTCTCCAACCTCCTTGGCCCTCATAACTGAGGGCTTTACAACAGCTCTAGACTTATGCGGCCTCTTTCCTGACTACTTGCTCTTCCTCAATATCTGAGCCACTTCACTCAGCTGGTTACCTCCTACCTTTAAACTTACCTCTCTTCTCCAGATCTCCTTACAACTGAAGGAGTCCTCCAAGGCCCGGGCCCTCCGGTTTTTGCCTGCTCCCATCCTTCATGGGGAGTTTTCCCCAAGGTTACTCCTCCATCTGTTAGAGTCTCCTGCCGATGAATCTCTGTATAGTAACGTATCAGATACAGGGCTCTCTCCCAAAATCTGTTTCCTCAGCACACCCCAAGGCCTATAGGCTTTGTAATGCCTCTCTCTTCCTACTCCCAAGGAATAAGAGTATAGCCAGGTACCGCGGCAATAATATACCAAGTACTGTGTGTAATACATTAGTACATTACAGGTGCTAATGTAATCCCAGTAACCCTATGTGGTATATATCTGTACCTTGTACTGGTGAAAAATCTAAGGCAGGGCAGTGGCGGTGACCTAAGCTGCCTGAGACCACAAAGTTAAACTTACACTCAAGCAGTCTAGGACAGCACAGAATCTCAACCACTAGAGTGCCTCTTTTCAAGGCAAGAAAGGAAAGTTCTCTAATCCCCAAAGGAAGTGCTGACCACTGCACTACTGCTAACCTCAATTACATGGTCAGAGGTCTGGCTTTAAATCACTAAATGCTTAGTTCACTAAGAAAGTCCTTCCTAGAAACTAAGTCAGCAGTGATCCCTTCCTTCCCTTTGCTGAAAGCTTAATGCACAAGGGACCTGTGTATCCAACTCTACCCTCTCCCTTTTACCTCTCCAAACTGCTCATCATCAGGATTTGTCATTTCTCTACAGGACTCTTGGACCTAGTATTTTTGTTCATACCTTTCTATCTACTATGTGCCAGACACCCTGCTAGGCACTAGGGATACAACTGTAAGCAAGAGTGACATTGTCCTTGAATCAGGAGTTTTCTAATTATGGGTCCTGCTTCTCCCAACTCTGTCCTACCCAAGGCAGCCACACTGCCTTTCAGAAAAGACAATCTCTTGTCCCGTGATACCCCTGCGGAAACAACTGCAACGGCATATGGTACAGTCTACGGGTAGGGAAACTGGGGGCATAGCTAAGAACTTGCCCTTTTTTTCTTAAGCAAGTCATTTCTCTGCAGGACTCATAAGTTTTCTTATATTAAATGAGGGAAGTAAACTAAGGATCTAAGAAGTAAATTTTATGATTCTCAGTCAAATGTTAATAAACACCACCCAACAACAAAACCCTATTGACTTAAAGCCAACTTCATCTCCTAGCCACAACCCGGTTCAGTCTAACCTGCTTGCTGTAATTCGCATTTTTCAGGTGTATCATATGTTCTCGTGTAAACTCTTATTGGAGGGCTAATTTGCTTAGGAGGTAATATGGTACAGGATAAAAACTCAGAGGCTGCAAACGAGCAGTCTCCCTACCCCTACTCAAAAAATGGCTCCGCCTGGCTGGCACAATAATTTGAGATTTCGGAGTCTGAATGCTTTCATAGAGGACAACTCTAGTGCACCAAAACCTCAGTCTCCAGGGCGCCTGGGTGGCTCAGTTGGTTAAGCGACTGCCTTCGGCTCGGGTCATGATCCTGGAGTCCCGGGATTGAGCCCCGCATCGGGCTCCCTGCTCAGCGGGGAGTCTGCTTCTCCCTCTCCTGCTCCCCCCTCTTGTGCTCTCTCGCTCTCAAATAAATAAATAAAACCTTTAAAAATAATAATTAAAAAAAAACCTCAGTCTCCAACACTCCGTAGTGTCTCATTCCCAGCAGGTTTCTCTCATTTATGTTATCTGCCTGGCTCCTTAAGGTTTGAGGTTAGAGTAGTACAAACACTCCTATCTGCCCCACCAGTGCCCTGTTCTCCTTTAATTAGATTTTTTTTTTTTTTTAAGTAAATGAAAACCCAGGTCTCATTTCTTCCAGCTAATTTCCTACTTCCTCATTCTACTGAATAGGTCTTTTCCACCCAACTTTTCCTCCCACTGTAATTCAAAGCATCACACACAGGTAAGGCATTCAGAGGTCAAACTGGCATCCTACTGCTCATTTTTTGTTTGTCTTTGCTTGAGTTTGGCTGGGAAAAGGCCACCCTACATTCTCTATTCACCTTTTGGAAGACTAGTTCAGGCTAATCTTAAATTCTGCTTAGGCAACATTGCCTACCAAAGCTGTTCCTAGAGGAAACAGAGCTCCAGAAATCCCGGCCATAATCCGTTCGACAAATGATAAAACTCTTAGCTTTCTTTGGCTGGAGTTTCTTCCTCCAGGGTTAGAACATCCTCCTTGAGTTCCCTATTCACGCCTCTTTTCCTCCCCATAATCCAACATTCCGTACACCTGAAGTGCTTAAATACTGAATTGTATTGCCGTTTTTGTTTGTATACATCTCAAAAATGATACTAGTATTCTCATTTTTTTCTGCCCTCCTTTCTTAATAACTGGTTCTGTGCCGGGCTTAGGCTTGCCTTTAAGTCTGGCCAAACTGCGCCAATGCGGCTGTGTTTGAGAGGCCAGGCTCAAACACAGCCAGTGCTCAATGAAAAGTTCCTGGACTGAACGGGCTTCTTCGAGCTCTTCGGCCTGTCACCCTATTTTCTTTGCTTCCTCGCTCTGCCCCGTCCGGGAGCACTCAAACATACTCATACCACTGAGTAGGCTCCCCGAACCTAGGCTTCTGCTATGACTGGGCCGGGGTCTCGTTTTCTCCTTGCACTCTTCCTTAACCTCCCGGTTCGGTAAGAAACAAGAGCGACACAGAGCCCTCAGACCCACTCTGGGCCGAGTTTCTACACAAGCCCTCCCGCCCCAAACGCCGCCGCACTCTCACCCAGACCCCCTGGCGGCTCGCCGTGCGGCTGGGGCCCAGGGGCACCGCCGTCCAGGATGGCGAAGGCCTCGTCGTTCTCGATGCCCGCAATCTCGCTCTCTTGCTGCGCCAAGAAGGCCGCGGCCGGGTCTTCTTCGCCGGCACCGGCCACCCCGTTCCCTAGCGCGGGGCCGCCGGGAGCGCCGGCAGGAGCGCCGAACGGATCTAGTTCAGCCATGGCGGGCAGTTCAACGGCACGGACACCGACGTTGAGCGACACGCCAACCGACCCACCAACACCGCGCCCCGCAGCGGCTGCTGTGGCGGCGACCGCGATCCGACGACAAGCTGGAGAGAGAAGACGGAAGCGGAAACCCTGCCCCTATATCCGGTTGGTGTAGGCGGTGTTGGAGAGCCGAAGGGTTAACAACCAATCAGAGGACAGCGATGGTTCAAGAACTACCCAATCAGCAGGAGGAGGGGCGGGCCCCCGAGGAAAACTCGTGACTCGGGCCGCGGCGGCTGTGAGAATGGTGAGCCCAGCAAAGCCGGACGGAGGCGGAAGTGGCTTGGCTTAAAGCAGCCTTCCCTGCCTGGCCTTTGGGGCTGTCCTGCCCGTGGACTGCCACCTCTGCGGAGACTGAAGTGCCAGAGCCGGAGGTGAGGTGAAGGAGGGCCGCAACGGTCGATCGGTCGACTAAGGAGGCAAGCTGCTTAGGTTTCCTGAACCCCCGTTTGCTCGTTTGTGAAATGGGAACGAGAATCCTGCACTGCTTCCTTCCCAGGCTCCTTGGGAAGACTGAATCCTTTCACGGCTGTGTACTGGCCTTATTAAAAATTTTGTATTTGTTAATTCATTCACCCAGCCTAGGAGAACAGGAGCTTTCTCTAAAATTCGTTCAGTATTTTACATCAGGGGATTTTGTCTACACCATAGAAATGGTAATGGGTGATCACAGTTAACCGTGCTCTTGCCGAGATAAGCAATGGACAACAGGAGGATCTTTCTCCTTCACGACCATCCCCTCAAAAGGAAAAAAGCAAAAACCAACCAACCAGAGATCAAAGAAGTCTCCGGAGATAGCAAGGGACAGGAAAGTGGTTTTTAAAAATATATATATAGCTTTAATGACAAAAAGTGGTAATTATTTGCTTAAAGCATGTATTTTTAGTCATTTTCAGTGTGGAACATAGGACAGTTTTGAAGAAAAACATTTAAGAAACTTAAAATTCTAGGGCTTGCAATTCACTCCGTTTTCTTCTTCCTCTTCTTGTTTAATGCTCATCCCTAACATAAATTATCCACAACATACGAAGTAGTTTCACATTCATCTTTTCCTTGAAACAATCTCTCCTGCCCCGGGCGGAGGATAATGGGAAAGGATGACCATGAGAGAGTCCAAAGACAACTGTTGAATGCTGAGGGACAGACAGCACTCACTCCTGAAAGTAAATCCATACAGCTGAAGACAAGTGTGGAGTCAACTCAGGGAGGGCTTGAGTGCCCAGGTGAGGATTATTCCTGAATTTCAGGGGCTGTAAGGAGCCTTTGGAAAGACTAAGCAGGCAATAACTTAGAACTCTGTTTTGAAAGAATCTTCTGGCAGATCAGGCAGTGTAAGCATATGAGAGGGTTTGGAAAGCAGGGAGTTCAGTTAGGAAAGGTGCTGCAGTGAACCTGCAGTGGTTCAGGAGAGGAGAGGAGCCAAGGATGATATTTCAGCAGAGCTGCTGTGGAAGGAAAATAATGAAAGTAATGTACAGAGAACTTGGGAAGTGACAGCATTTAGGAGGGAAGAGATTTACAATTTTTTTTTTAAAGATTTATTTTAGAAAGAATCTGAGCGGGGGGGGGGAGGGGCAGAGGGAAAGGGAGAATCTCAAGCAGACTCCCTGCTACTGAGCGTGGAGCCTGCTATGTGGGGCTTAATCTCAAGACCCTGAGATCATGACCTGAGCAGAAAGGTTTAACCGACTGAGCCATGCAGATGCCCCCACAGACAATATTTATAGCTTAGAAAACCATGAACAGAAATAGCTAGGACAGGAAAAGCCAGTTGAGTAGGATGAGGCAGGAGATAAGAGGAAGAGTTCAGTGTTGACTTCTTACTGAGCACAAGGGACCTGTGAGATATTCAGGAGGCATTCAACAGGATATTGGAAATCAGTCTCACATTTAGGAGAGAAGGCTCTAAATCTAGCAATGGTGGGCAGAATTGCCTAGGGCCAACTCTTCTGCTGAAAATAACCAGAAAAGCTAGGCAAGAAGTTTTCAAAATCTCTCTGAAGGCATCAGAGGACTACCAAAGCAGTGAGGAATTGTGGGCCCGAGTTCTAGGAGAGGAGGGTAAGCCAAGAAAAATGATCCTAACATTTCAAGCCACTTTTTCTCTCAAGGAGATTGTTAGTTCTAAAAGCTGAGAAGCTGAGTAAAGCTTTCAGTAAACAAGGCTGGGAGGAGGGGCGCCCGGGTGGCTCAGTTAAGCATCTGCCTTTGGCTGGGGTCGTGACCCAGTGGCCTGGGATCAGGCCCTGCATTGGGCTCCCTGCTCAGCGGAGAGCCTGTTTCTCTCTCTGCCCCTCACCCCCCTCGTGCTCTCTCTCAAATAAGTAAAGAAATCTTTGTGGGGTGGGGGGAGGGGGGACAAGGCTGGGAGGAGAAAATAGTTGAGGGCTTACCAAAAAGGAAGGACCCTGATAACTACCAGGTTTTTAGTTGGGATCCTGAAGGGCTACACAGTTGGAATCAAGATGAAAATTGACTAAAGCACAACTCTGAATCCCGTAATTCCTTGATTGAATTAAAATGATCCAGGCTTTCTAGTGTCTTTAGCCTAGAGCTGCCTGCCAGAAGCAACAGTAAATTCTAATAGAAAAAAATTCAACCAAAAATAAGCATGAAAAGACAGAACATGCTCAGAGACATTGTGAGAGACAGACTTAGAATAGAAATTCCAGAGGATTCAGATAATGGATTTAATCAGACCTAGGTTTTAAAATAGCTATGATTGAGCTAAAGAAATTAAAATAGAGAACTTCAGCAGTTTAAAAATGTGAGAACTAAAATTTATAGTATCTGTTATTAACAATTCAGTGGATAAATTTAAAAGTGGATTAGACGTGGCTGAAAAGAGAATTAGGGAACCAGAAGATAAGCAGAAAAGTATCGAGGCTGAACACAGAAAGGAACATAAAAAAACATATGGGATATGAGGGATAGGTGTTGGGTTGGTTTTTTTTTAAGTTTTTATTTATTTTAGAGAGATTGAGAGAGAGTGTGTGTGCTCACAAGGGAGCGGCGGTGGGGGGGTGGGCGGCGAAGACAGAGGGAGAGAATCTCTGCCTACAGGCAGAGCCAGACGCAGGGCTCAATCCCATGATCTCAAGACTATGACCTGAGCCAAAACCAAGAGCTGGAGGCCCAACTGACTGAACCACCCATGTGCCCCAGGAATAGGTTTTATAAACATGTAATTTTAGCTAGAAGGAGAAGAGAGAATGGAGCAGTGTTAGAAGATAAAACAGCTAGGAATTTCCCAAAATTGATGAAACCAAGCCGCCACAGTTTTAAGAATCACCATGAACTCCAAGCAAGATAAAAAATACCCTCCCAACAAAATGTAAAGAGCACTGGGTATTATATAAGGCTGATGAATCACTGACCTCTACCCCTGAAACTAATAATACATTATATGTTAATTGAATTTAAATAAAAAAAAAATAAAAAATACCCTCCCTCAAACAATTTAAAAAAAATTTACAGGCCTCTTGTGCATTTTTAAATTGACATCTTAATTTTTTCATAACTTAATTTTTAAAAAATATTTTATTTATTTATTTGACAGAGAGAGACACAGCGAGAGAGGGAACACAAGCAGGGGGAGAGGGAGAGGGAGAAGCAGGCTTCCCGCTGAGCAGGGAGCCCAATGTGGGGCTCAATCCCAGGACCCTGGGATCATGACCTGAGCCGAAGGCAGATGCTTAACGACTGAGCCACCCAGGAGCCCCCATAACTTAATTAATTGCAAGGATGTAATTTCTAATATATTGTAAATATTGATCCATTTAAATAAAATTGTTGCATTGCTCATTAAATGTATCCAATGGTGTGTCTACATGATCTGATACTATCATCCATTAAAAAAATACATTGCAAAGCCTTTTATTAACACTAAAAAATTTCAGATTCTTACTTTCTTTTTTTTTAAATTTTATTTATTTTTTTAAAGATTTTATTTATTTATTTGAAAGAGAGAGAAAGCATGAGGTGGGGAGGGTCAGAGGGAGAAGCAGACTCCTCGCTGAGCAAGGAGCCCGATGCAGGACTCGATCCCAGGACTCCAGGATCATGACTTGAGCTGAAGGCAGTCGCTTAACCAACTGAGCCACCCAGGCACCCAGATTCTTACTTTCGCTCCTTGAACACATACTGTCATTCCAACACTTGCCCCTAAATTCTATCCCATTAGAATGTCTTTGTGCTTGACTTTTTTTTAAAAGATTTTATTTATTTATTTTAGAGATAGAGAGCAGGAGGAGGAGCGGAGGGAGAGGGACAAGTAGACTCTGCACTGAGCATGAAGCCCCATGCAGGGCTCGATCCCACAACCCTGAGATCATGACCTGAGCCGTCAACCAACTGAGCTACCCAGGCACCCCTGCTTGAAAGACTTCTATTGATCAATGTATCATACTTCTTTGTAACAATGTAATATAAATATAATTGACTTTTTAAAAATATCCCATAACCATAAGGCTCTGTTAAAATTCTGTTTTGGATTGACATAATTATTAGTAGTATACATTTAATCAAAACAGCAAAATATGCCAGAAAATGTCAAATTATTAAATATAAAATGTAAAATTTTGTTAGAAATTCCTGTCTTAAAAAGCTAGATGGGCTTGTATTGTCTATTGCCGTGTACTAAATTATCTTAAAACTTAGCACCTTAAGGTAGCAAACTTTTATTATTTCCCAGTTTCTGAGGGTCAGGAATCTGGGCAGGCTTAACTGGGGTTCTGACTCACGCTCTCTCATGAGGTTGCAGTCAATCTATTGGCAATGTCTGCAGTCATTAAAATCTTGATGGGGACAGGATAACCACTTCCAAGATCACTCACATGGCTGTTGGCAGGAGCTGTTGGCTCCTTGCCACATGAACCTCTCCAAAATGTTGCTTAGGACACAGAAATTGGCATTCTCCAGAGTGAGTAATCCAAGAAAGAATGACCAAGACAGAGGCATGGTATCTTTTAATAGTTTTATTGAGATACATTTCACATCCCATACAATTCACCCATGTAGAGTGTATAATTCAATGGCTTTTAGCATATTCACAGGGTTGTACATCCATCACCATTATTTTCATTACCCCCAAAGAAATTTTATACTCCATCTTCTCAAACCCTCTAACTCTAGGCATTAAGTTTCTACTTTTTGTCTAAGTTTGCCTAATATGGACATTTCATGAAAATGGAATTATACAATATGTGGTTCTTTGTGACTAGCCTCTTTCACTTAGCATAATAGTTACAATGGTTGTCCATGTTATAGTACATATCAGTACTTTGTTTCTTTTGATGATTGAATAATATTCCATTGTGTGGATGTATCTCATTTATCTATTTATTAGTTGATGGACATTTGGGTTGTTTCCACTTTTTGACTATTTTTTTTTTTTTTTTTTTACAGATTTTATTTATTTATTCATGAGAGAGAGAGGCAGAGCGAGAAGCAGGCTCCCAAGGAGCAGGGAGCCCGATGCGGGACTCGATCCCAGGACCCTGAGATCATGACCTGAGCCGAAGGCAGACGCTTAACCATCTGAGCCACTCAGGCGCCCTCCACTTTTTGACTATTATGTATGAACATTCATGTACAAGTTTTTTATGCATGTGTTTTCATTTCTCTTGAGTATATAAACCTAAAATGAAATTAATGGGGAATATACCCCATATATATTACTAGGTCATAAGGTAACTCCATGTTTAATTACTTGAGAAATTGCCATACTTTTTTCTAAAGCTGTTACACCATTTTATATTCCCACCAACATTGTATAAGGTTTCCATTTTTTTTTTTTTAAGATCTTATTTATTTATTTGACAGAGAGAGACACAGTGAGAGAGGGAACACAAGCAGGGGGAGTGGGAGAGGGAGAAGCAGGCTTCCCGCGGAGCAGGGAGCCCAATGCGGGGCTCGATCCCAGGACCCTGGGATCATGACCTGAGCCGAAGGCAGACGCTCAACAACTGAGCCACCCAGGCGCCCCTAAGTTTTCCATTTTTTTCCCACATCCTCACCAACACTTATTTTTATTGTAGTGATTCTAGTGGGTATGAAGAAGCATCTCATGGTTTTGATTTGCATTTCATTGGTGGCTAATGATACTGAACAACATCTTGTCATGGGCCTATTTGCCATCTGTGCATCTTATTTGAGGAAATGTCTATTCAGATCCTTTGCCCATCTTTTAATTTTTCTTTCTTTCTTTTTTGTTGCTTTTTATTGTTGAGTTGTAAGAGTTCTTTATACATTCTAAATACAAGTTCCTTGTCAGATATATGCTTTCCAAATATCTTCTCAATTGTGTCTTTTCACATTCTTGATGGTGTCCTTTCAGGCACACTTGTTTTTTTGTTTGTTTGTTTGTTTTTAAAGATTTTATTTATTTATTTGAGAGAAAGAGTGAGAGAGAGAAAGAGCACAAGAGGGGGGAGCAGGAGAGGGAGAAGCAGGCTCCCTGCCGAGCAGGGAGCCCGATGCGGGACTCGATCCAGGGACTCCAGGATCATGACCTGAGCCGAAGGCAGTTGCTTAACCAACTGAACCACCCAGGCGCCCGAGGCACACTTGTTTTTAAATTTGATGATGGTTATTTGTGTTTTTGGAGTAATATCTAAGAAACCATTGCCTATCCAAAGTCATAAAGACACCTATGTGAGAATGATACTTTTTTTAAATTCAAAATCTGGAATAAAAATGGGGTCACTGAAAATTTAAACACATTATAAAGTTCAAAAGAAGATATACAGGGGCACCTAGGTGGCTCAGTTGGTTAAGTGTCTGCCTTCAGCTCAGGTCATGATCCCAGGGTCCTAGGATCGAGTCCTGCATCAGGCTCCTTGCTCAGCGGGGAGTCTGCTTCTCCCTCTCCCTCTGCCTGCCACTCCCTCTGCCTGCCACTCCCCCTGCTTGTGCTCTCTCTGTCAAATAAATAAATAAAATCTTTTTTTAAAAAAGAAGACATACAAACAATTGTATGTTAATAACTTTGAAAGTTTAAATGAAAAATTCCTAGAAAATGTAACTTAAAAATAACACAAGGGGAAATAGAATTAAATATTCCTGTAACTAGTAAAACCAGTTTAATAAACCAAAATCCTTCCCACAAAGAAAACTCCATTTGCCTTCATCAGTGAAACTTCTTGTCTTCACAAATTCTTCCAGAGAATTTTTAAAAAGAGAATACACTCCAACTGATTTTATGGTAAGCACAGTCTTGATACAAAACCCAAAACAGAGAAAGGAAAATTATAAGCAAAATCATTCATGAATATAGTTGAAAAAACCATGAGTGGGAGTGAGATGGAGTAAGCACATTCCTCCTGGTCTTTCCCAGTGAATGCAGCTATAAAACCTAGCCAGAATGCATGGAGCAGAAGCTATTTGAGGACTCTGGAGAGTAAATAGTGGCAGGCAAATTGGGGAAGAAGACCAAAAAATATGAAGCACTGAACTGGCAATGAGTTCATTATTTTTTATCCTCTGGTTATCCTGCCACTTGGCCTCAGACACGGGTACAGTTATGAAAGTGCATGGCAGACAGAGTGGGCTAAGCAAAGCTCTAGCTTTCTGGTGGAGAACCAAAAATAGGAATCTCAGGGAAGTGAACAGTGCAAGGGAAATCACAGAGAGGGAGCACCTTGGGGAAGTGACCCTGTAAAATTGTTTACAAACTCCTGGGCTCAGCCCTGAGCTGTAACTAGGTTGACGTGGTCTTAATCAGCACCTAGACTTTTGAGAACCGAATTTTCCACTGTCCAGGTCCCAGACTGTCCACTGGGTGGCGCACATGTGGACTAGATCTGAACACCATTGCAAAGTCTTTGAAAATTGAAATGAAATTCTAACCACAGTCCACAAGAGTGGTTTGGAACTTATGGCCTGAATCTATTTAGGTCAATTGCATACTAATACAAAAATATCAACATTCTTCATATGATTTAAACAAGAGCCAGAGTTTCATAGCCTAACATTCAAAACGTTTAACATATATTCTTAAACTTGGCAGATGAATAATTAATTGGCATGTGAATAAGGAAAATCTCAACTCACAAATAAAGACAGTCAACACATGTCAATACCAAGATAACTTAGATACTGGAATCATGTGACAAAGACTTTAAAGCAGCTATTATAAAAATGCTCTAAGAATCGTAAACACCGTTGGAACAAATGGATAACTAGAAAGGTTCAGTAAGGAAATAGAAAATACAGAGAATAATAAAATGGAAATGTTAGGACTGGAAAGTAAGAAAACCCAGAAATTAAAAACTCACTGGATATATTCCAAAACAGAGTAGAGATGACAGAGAGAAAAGTAAGTGAACATAACAATGAGTAAAAATAGGTCTGGAAAACAGTGAGGAAAAATAAAACCCAAAAAGATCCCCAGGGACCTGTGGAACAATAAAAAAAGTCCAGCATTTGTTCCATCAGACTTCCAGAAATAGAAAAGGGTGCAGAGCTGGAAAAAATGTTTGAAGTAATAACAGCTGAAAACTCCCCAAATTTGGCAAAAGACATAAATCTACATATGCAAAAAGCTCTGTGAACTCCAAACCAGATAAAACCAAAGAATTTTGTCTCCATACACATCATAATAAAGCTGCTGAAAACTAAAGAAACTAAATCTTCCACGTGGCCAGACAAAAATAACACATTCCTGACAGAGAAGCAATGATTTAAATGAATGTTGAAATCTCGTCAGAAACCATGAAGGCCAGGGGCACCTGGGTGGTGCAGTCGGTTAAGCATCCAACTCTTGATTTTGGCTCAGGTCGTGATCTTGGGGCCTCAGGTCATGATTTTGGGGTCATGGGATTGGCACCGCACTCAGTGGGAGTCTGCTTGAAATTCTCTCTCTCTCTTTCCCTTGCCCCTCTCCTCAATCATGTTCTCTCTCTCTCAAATACATACATACATACATACATACATAAAATCTTAAAAAAAGAAAAAGAAAGAAAAAAGAAACCATGAAGGCCAGAGGAGGTGGCACAACATTTTTAAGGTGTTGAAAAAAGGAACTATCAAGCCAGAATTTTCTATCCAGTAAAAATAACCTCCAGGAATGAAGACAAAATAAAGACATTCTCAGAAGAAGGAAAAGAAAGAGAATTCATGGCCAGTTGACATGCTCTAAAAGAACGGCTAAAGGAAGTTCTTCAGAGAAGGGAAATGACACCAAAATGAAAGCTAGAACATCAGAAATGAAGGAAAAGCAACAAAAATGATAAGCATCTGGGTAAATATAATAGACCATTCTTTTTCTCTTGAGTTTTTAAAAATATGCTTGATATTTGAAAGCAAAAAAATATCAGTGTCTGATGGGGTTTTCAATGTGTTAGATGTAATGTACAAGATAACTATAATATAAAGGGCAAAGGTAAAGGGACTTATATGGAGTAAGGTTTTTATATTCCACTTGAAGTAGTAAAATATTAATTTTAAATAGACTATGAAGTTCAGTATGTATATTGTAATCCCTAGAAAAACCACTAAAAACTTTATACAAAGAGATATTGTCGAAACACAGTAAATTAAAATGGAGTACTAAAAAATATTCAAATAACCTAAAAGAAGGCAGGAAAGAAGGCAGAGGAATGCAAAAGAGGGGGAAAATGGAAAATGAATAATAAAACGATAGACCAGGCCGCCTGGGTGGCTCAGTCAGTTAAGCAGCTGCCTTCGGCCCAGCATGATCCCAGGGTCCTAGGATCGAGTCCCACATCGGGCTCCTTGCTCAGCAGGGAGCCTCCTTCTCCCTCTCTCTCCCTCTGCTTGTGCTCTCTCTGTCAAATAAATAAAATCTTTAAAATAAAAATAAAATGATAGACCTAAATCCAAACATATCAATAAGTGCCATTAAATGTAACTGTTTTAAACACACCAATACAAAAATCAGAGTTTGTTAGAATAACAAGATATGAACCAATTATAGTCGTCTACAAGAAACTTCAGGATGATATAGGTAGATTAAAAGGATGGAAAATGATAAACCATGCAAACACTAATATCAGACAAAGTAGACTCAAAGCAAGGAAAATAACAGGGGATAAAGGTGTATATTACCTAATGATAAAAGGGTCAATTCACCAAGAAAACATTAAAATCCTAAATGTGTATGTAAGTAACAACAATTACTTCAAAATACATGATGCAAAAACTGACAGGATGAAAAGGAGAAACACAAATACACAATTATAGTTGGGGACTTCAACACTCAGAAAAATCTGTAGAACTAGTAGAAAGAAAATCAACAAGGATATAGAACTGAACAACATCATCAACCAACTGGACCTAATTGACATTTATAGGACACTCTATTCAACAATAACTAGATATACATTTTTTTCCAAGTATACATGGGACATTCATCAAGACAAATCATATCTGGGGTCATAAAACAAACCTCAACAAGTATTAAAAGAACTGGGAAAAAATAGTGTATGCTCTCTGACCATAATGGAATTAAAGTAGATATGGTGAACAGAAAGACACAAAGAAAATTCTAAAACTTTGGAAATTAAACAAAACACTTCTAAATAATCCATGAGTCAAGTCTCTAGGGAAATTAGAAAAATATTTTTAACTGAATGAATGAAAATACAAATATAAGTTTGTGGGATGTAGTTAAAGTAGTTTTTAGAGTAAAATTTTTAGTAGTAAATGCTAGTATTAGAAAAGAAGAAAGGTCTCAAGTAAATAAGCTTCCACTTTAAGAGACTAAAAATAAAGCAAAATAAACCCAAAGCAAGCAGAAGAAACAATAAAGAGTATAAATCAATAAAATTGAAAACAGAGAAATAGAGAGATGAAATCAAAAGCTGGTTCTTGGAAAAAAAATCAATAAAATAAATCTCTAGCAAGACTGAAAAGAAGACACAAATTACTGACATCATGAAGTACTCTGCAACATGAAAAGGATAATAAGAGAATATTATGAACACTCTGTGTACATAAATTTGGCAATGTAAGTGAAATGGACAAATTCCTGAAAGCCACAAACTACCAAAACTCACCAAAGATGAAATGGTAATCTGAATAGCCCTATGACTAAAAAGTCGAATTTGTAGTTAAAAACCTCTCCCCAGTGCAAAAAAAAAAAACCAAAACAAAAAAAACAACAGCAACAAAGCAGAACAGAACAAAATAAAAAACCACCACAACCAACAACAAAGCAAAACAAAACTCCACGACTAGATAGTATTGTCAGCCAGTTCTACCAAATATTTAAGGACGTAACACCAATTCTAAGCAATATCTCCTGAAAAAGAGAGAGAGAGAGAGAGAGAGAGAGAGAAGGGAACACTTCCCAACTAATTTTATGAAGCAAGCATTACTCTGGTACTAAAACTAGACAAAGGGAGTCCAAAAAAAGAAAACTATGGATCAATATCCCCTAAGAACATAGATGCAAAAATCCCCCAACAGAATACAGTCCCCAACTTAATGATGATTCAATGTATGATTTTTCAACTTTATGATGGCGCAAAAGCAATACTCATTCAGTAGAAACTGTTTGAATTTTGTATTTTGATCTTTTCCCAGGCTAGTGATACGTGGTATAATACTCCTTAGCGGTGGTAGCTCCAGATCACAAAAATAAACAACCGATATACTTAGAACCATTCGTACCCATACAACCAATCTGAGTTTCACTTTCAGGAGCCAATAAATTACATGAGATATTCAACACTTCATTATAAAATGGGCTTTGTGTTAGATGATTTTTTCCACCTGCAGGCTAATGTAAGTGAGCATGTTTAAGGTAGGCCAGGCTAAGCTAAGCTGTTTGGTAGGTTAGGTGTATTAAATGCATTTTTGACTTGGATATTGTCAACTTAAAATGGGTTTATCAGGACATAACCCCATTGTAAGTTGAGAAAGACCTGTATTAGCAAATTGAATCCATCAACATATTAAAAAGAACAGTATATCATGACAAAATGGAGTTTATCCCAGGATACAAAACTGGTTCAATATTTGAAAAACAAATCAATGTAATCCACCACATTCACGGTCTAATGAAGAAAAATCACGTAATTTACACAGAAAAAATTTTTGACAAAATTCAATACCTACTTATTATAAAGACTCATCTATGAAAAACCTATCATATT